GTTTCAGCCTCTAAGTGGGACGTCCTTCTTCCCTGACCTCACAATACCACCGCCGTCGCCCTTACACATGTACACAGGAATGAAAATATATATGATGAACTCAAACACCTGATACAATGTGCTGGTAATTGAAGGTTCTGAAATTATTAATATTGTGTCTTTAAAAATGTAGGAAGTAGAATAAATAAATGAATGTATTCTAGTGTGTCTCTTGGGTCTGGGTCACCTGCTTCATATAAACGAGTGATTCTGCCTTTTTTGGTGTAGTAAAGAATTATTTATTAAACATCACCTATGTTCAACAAGTAATTTTAATTATGTCAGTGGTGTTGACTTGTTGAGTTCACGGCCAAACACTTTTCTCTTTATTGCTCAGGAAACACGAGGTGAATGTATCGACGTGCTACGACTAGATATTAACACACTATAGTTAACGTGTTACTTACAGGATATTAACACACTATCTATGATTAACATTTTACAAATTTAATTCGTGATTTATTTGAGCCTACTTGTACAGTATGTAAACAAAGTTCTTGTTTCAGGGAGAACAAAGGGGAAAAAAAGGAAAATAAACATATTAATACATAAGAAAATAAATAAATATTATAATAATTAACAATTCATGATATTGTTTACGTAGTTGTGTTAACTAAAACTTAATGTCACTCGTTATGTTTCTCTTCTCACTCGACTGATAGCAGACAGACTACCAGCGTCACCTCCATTGTACTGCAGGAGCCTTGCACTTCATCTAACTTTCTTTGTATTTGCGGTTACTGGAGGTTCCTTCCATAGGTGGGTTGGTCGGTAGGATCCTTCGTTGAATATAAAGGAAATTAAGGATTCAGACTGTGAGATATTCATTAGCATCCTATTGTATTGTCGGGGTCATGAGACAGCAATCAATATCTTACGTTAGTTGAGGAATGGCTGAAGGATTTTGTTTTCGTCGATTTCGTTGTCTTCTCTTTCTGAATCTCACCATAGGTTTTTCGGGAAAGTTTTCAATGACATAAAGTTCGTCTGTAATATTGTTGATTGGACTGACCTTCATCGTCATCGTTCTGTTGTTATTACTGTACAAGATTTATGTCAACTCTGCACTTCCATTGTTCCCGTGTCACTGAACGTTATCACCCCGCCAACATCACAAGACACTCAGTTCGGGTTTACGGTCATCACCTCCCATCATCCACCAGGTGTCGCGCTACACAATAATTTAGACGTTCACTATCTCTCAGCCCAGCACTTTGGCGTTATTTTGAAACAGAGTAAACATGATTTTACTGATTCCTCTTTGATATTTATTTGTCTATTTTATTCTGTGCGCCTCAGCCAAATGGTTATAGCGATTCTCTCCTGTCCTAATGGTCGCTGATTTGATACCGGGGAAAACCTCAGTCCTCCCAGCTGTGAATGGGTAATCTACCTGTGCTACTGGGAAAAGTGGAGGCGGTCGAGTGCAATACCAACCACCCTGCCTCCTTGTGTACCTAAAGCACTTAATATTTTCCTCTGTCCTGAATGAATTATTTTTATTGTCTCGAAGGCTCAAATTTATCCAGTAAGACTTGTGTATAAAATAGTAATAGTGATATTAATGTAAATAGTATTACTAATTATTATACTCATATCCTTAGAAGGCTCTCGAGATCATACGTCAACACTGAGTATCCTAAACATGGGTCCCTGCACACAAAGATATAAATATTCCTCTTAGACTACGAGGTCATAGGATAACAGTTATAGTAGTGTCCGTCTTAGGCTCCGCAGTAAAAGCCTTGATGCCGCCACAAATAAAACAGAAAATACTCGCAGAAAATAAAAGACATACTAAACCAAATTGTCCAAAGAATATTATCTTTTCCACCAACCACAAGTCAATGTAACGATGAAATAACGAGTTCTTGAAGGAATACGAAAAAATAAAAACACTCATATCGAAATGGAAACTTACAAATTCACGTATCAGGATTTAGCACACTGATCTCAGAGACCTCAACAGAAAGGCTGGTAAGACATCTCTCTCAGACACAACACATTTACGACTCAACTACAGGAAGCAACACTTACCACACCGGCCATAATCACGAACGTTAAAAAGAGAACTTCCTCCTAGATGATACAAACACAGGTGTCTCCCCCTAAAATCAACCCGTCCTGTAACCGTTCTGTAATTGGCATGACGTCAGAGTATACGAAATCTTTCAACCAATGACATCACGGTGGAAAATCCCTGCATTCAGCCAATGGCATCACGGTTAGTGGCACTCGGGTGTGGCCTTGAGAGAACACCGTCACGTAGCGAAAAAAAATTATGGTGTGGCCTCGTGTTATCAGGGCATAATGTGATTTCACTGTGGCATACTGTGAGGGCTGGCTGTCTGGCTGGCTGACTCGCTGTGGGGGCTGGCTGACTCGCTGTGGGGGCTGGCTGGCTGGCTGACTTGCTGTGAGGAATGGCTGGCTGGCTGGCTGACTCACTATGAGGAATGGCTGGCTGGCTGACACTGCCGTGCTGTGTGCCAGGATTCGATCGATAACTGAGAATGAAAGAAGAAATAAAATAAAGAAACTAAGAAAAATGGAACATCGAAATATTAATATTTGTTTCTAAATAAATAGGATGTTCCAGCCTCCCTTCCTCCCTGCCTGCTGCCTGCCTCCCTCCCTCCCTCCCTGCCTGCCTGAGACACTGTAAGTAGGAGGGAGGCAGGGACATCTTTCTGGGACACCCTGTAATCTGTATAAATAATTTAATCTATCATACTTATTTATATTCCTTGTTATCTATCTATCTATCTATCTATCTATCTATCTATACTTACATATATTTCTACAGTAGCAATAATATCCTTCATAAAAAAAGATAATGAAAGTAAAAAATAACAATAATAATGGAGACACACACACACACACACACACACACACACACACATCCGTCAACTCCCTCAAGGTCAGTGATTGTAATTATCAATTATTATCTCCTTCCTCACTTAATTCTTTACTCGCCTCATTATACTTCTCTTTTACATCTCCATTAGCATCAATCTATCTCCCCATACTAGTTATCTTTCTTTACTTATTCTTATATTTATTGCATTATCGCTGGATCTGTCATTCTATTTATCTTTCTTTAGTAACCCCGTTTTATCCTTAACTTATTTAATATATCTATCTATCTATCTATCTATCTATTTATCTATCTATCAACCTTACCTTAATGAAGAGGTTGGACAGGTGGGGTGAATCAGGAGACATGAAGGACCTCAGTGTCCTTAAGTTAAGTGAAAATACGTAGGATGGTTTCTCTTAGGTATGGCCCGCCCTCCTCCTCCTCCTTCTCCCTCTTCCTTATCATTGTCCTCCTTCTCCACCTCCTTTTCCTTCTCTTCTTTCTCCATCTCCTTTTATTCCTCCCCCTTATCCTCCTCTTCTTTCCAAAACAGTTATAAACTGGTAGAATTTACTTGATCAAAATGTGAGGCTACTACTAATTTTTTTTTACTCTTTTTAAGTGACCTCCAGCCTTCCCCAATAACCACACCTTCGCCGCCATTTTATTACCTTAAAATTGACTATCCTAATACATAAGTAGCTACCCTAGCTGTGTTGAGTTAGTTGAGCCGCAAATATATGCGGCATTCAGTGACTGTTGCCTCGGAGTCAATATCTGCAACTGTTGTCGGCTTTGGGGCCGATGCTCTCGTTCTCCTGAGGCATAGCAAAGCAGACCGAAGGAGAGAGAAGGACCGTCGACATCTCAACCAGGCTGTAACGTAACTTCTGGGCTGCTGCTTCTGTTCGGATAACACCTCCGCGAGTCTGGCGTAGAATCATCTTGCATTTGGTCCCATCCCACCAGAGGTTGTGAACACCAGAGGAGTGAAGCTGCCATGATCAACGTTCTGAATTCTCTCCCCATATGCCCTTATCTTGTCGTTCTCGTTCCTCCTGTGTGCAGCATCGAGAACTAAGTTATGGTGACATGTGGCCATGGGATCAAAAATCCTTATGTCGAAGAAGGCTTACTGTCCCCGATTGTAGAATCCTCGAGCACTGACGTCAACACAGGCTTCGTTGGATGTGTTTGAAGTCCTATGTTCGAAATTCTCACCGTCCAATGGAAAGAGGGTCGGTTCTACCCTGACATCATAACAGATTTCCTTCAACATATTTGCAGTAACAGCCCTTACTTCGTCATGCCTCATGCATATGAAGCCCCCATTCTTGCACACCATGGCGTGGTCGACGTCATAGGAAGAGACACACGCATTGGGAGGGAAAACCTTCTACTGGCCTACCGTACCTTATAGCAATGGCATCTGTAAATTCTTGTTTATTAAGACTGAAACCATTTGCTCTTATCGGTAACGTAGTTAACCAGTTCGAGACGCCCACCTCCTGCGCTATAGCTACTTTTTTTTCTTCAAATTCTCTACTTGCAGCAGCAGTTGCTGCAACTTATCACTTTGGCCTACTAATACTACTACTACTCATAATAATAATAATAATAATAATAATAATAATAATAATAATAATAATAATAATAATAATAATAATAATAATAATAATAATAATAACAATAATAATATTAATAATAATAAAAATAATAATAATAATAATAATAATAATAATAATAATAATAATAATATTAATAATAATAAAAATAATAGTATTATTATTAGAGGTAAAAATATAAAAGAACAGCACAAAATTTCAATCGTTTTATTTTCTCTATTTTGATAAGAGGAAGAAACACCATCTTTCTCTCTCTCTGGAACCATCTGATCATATGAACGTAAAACAGGGTGCCTAAGAACTCACCTGCAAACCACTTACATGACACGACAGAACATAAGTGTTTTCTTATAAGATAATAAGTTACTACAGCTGTGAGAAAATAACACAAGCAGCCACAATCACATCATTACAGGGCCATGGGTCAGGGTCGTGGGCGGGGTATATAAGGTGTGTGAGAAGCCTTAGTTGGTACAGTCTTTGGCTCACTCACTCACTCACCGTCATCATGAGGACTCTGGTAAAGTATATTAGTACAGTTTCACTCATAAGTTGTTGTTTGTGTATGTGAATGATATATGGTATTACAGTTATTTTTTCATATTAGTTTGTTTTAGTGAGTAGAAAATTATATAGATTTGTGCTAAAGTTACCACCAAACGTAGTCATATTCGTGGACGTATCATTCTCATCATTATTATTATCATCCTGTAGCAATCCATAATCCATAAGCCTCCCCTAGAGCTTTCCTTACTCACTTACCGTCTCCAAACTCCATATTTTCATCTGTCCATCTGGTAGTTTGTTTTAATGGTTCTTTTGTACCTGGTGGTGCCCAGTAGAGGAGCTCCGTCATCCACTGCATTGTTCTCGTCACGTGTGCTGGCCACTACCTGAACCTTCACCATTATGTTGTACTCTTGTAGAAGCTCTCACTCATCTGTCTCCTCCCGCCCTTCCCCCATGTTGTGTCTGGTGTATGTCTCCTTACCCTCTTATTACAATTTGGTATTTCTGTATTGATTAAATAGTCGTCTTTCTAAAAATATAACATAATCATTGTGTGCATACTCTACAGACACACACACACACAAGAGTCGTTCTCATCAGTGCACCATCACAATTTAAAGAGTCTTCATCACAACCTACAACAGGGGGAGACGTATTACAGGCAGGCTGGGGGAAGCATCATACTCACACAGGAATAACGACGTGACGACGCTGGTGCCTGGCGGAGTTACTGTTACTGCCACTAGACACAATGACTCCTCCATGACAGAGATGACTGGAGAGTGTGTCATTGTGTCACTGTCACTGCCACCAGATACACCCACAACAAGGACACAGAGTGACAGGATGTCACTGTGATTTATGTAGTTGACATTCTCTCTCTTCTGGAATTAGTTCAACTCGTCTCGTTAGCTTTACGTGAATAAACGTTTTATTGTTAGCAAACATTGGTGCACGAGGTGATCGCTTAGTGAAGGGAGGGAGACGTAACACTCACAGCTCCTCTCAGTGAAAATTCGTTTTAGGCGTCCTGGTTGAAAATACATTTATGTTATGTTCCCTCAGGTTGTTTTGGCAGTGATGGGCGTGTGCTCCGCCTCCACCTATCAGGCCTACAACCATGGCCACCACTACGGCGTCCCCGTCCAGCCCAGGTGGAGGGGTCCTGTGGCTGCCACCGTCCCCGCCGGCGTCGACGGCAATATCATCCAGGTTCCTGACACCTACGAAGTCGCAGCCGCTAAGAATGCTTTCTTCAGGGCCTACCAGAACCAGCTGGACACTATTCGTTCCCGTCGTTATGGTACCCCAGGCTACGCCTCCGTTCCTCCCGCTTCTTACGCCCCTGTTGTCAACACCTACACCCATTCTCATTCCTACGGTGTGCCCTCCCACTCCTATGGTGTACCCCATACCACCTACAACGTCGCCCCCGGCCCGGTCCGGGACACTCCAGAGGTGGCCGCCGCCAAGGCTCAGTTCTTTAGGATCTTCGAGAGGCAGGCAGCAGCTGCAGCCGCGGCACCTGACCACTACACCCACTACTGAGCTGGACTGTCACATCCCACGCTTATGTAGAAGACGCTTACTTAATAAAACAACTGCAGCATTCCTTCTTGGTTCATTATCCAACACATACAGTAGAAATACTATATATTTCCTGAAGTATGAATATGGACGAGAGTAATATAAAAGCCAACTGTTGATTAGAATGATTTTATATTATAACACGTACAATACATGTCCACCAACTCGCCCTTACACACATAAACAAACACACACCCACACACACACACACACATATATATATATATATATATATATATATATATATATATATATATATATATATATATATATATATATATATATATATATATATATATATATATATATATATCCTACATCTAGATCCAAGGTTTTCAAAGCATTTTTAACCTTGGGGTCGTGGAGTGGTGGTCCAACAGGCGTCACGGAAGCGTTGTGTGTGGGGACATCTTAGGAGGTAGTGAATAAGGGTGCGGCTGTCGGGTCTTCTGCATAATGCACAAGAGCGATGCTCAGGGGATGCGGGGATACCAATCTCCCAAGCAAAGTCATACCCAATGATGATACGGGCAGCAATCACGTCCCTTTTCCGCGACCCTTTCCCATAGACATAAGAGAGGTCAGGAAGTTTACGGAGGACATCGTACCAAGTGGGCGGGGAGTCCAGGGGGATGGCTGCTTCCCGAGCTTCTCTCTGTTTGCGGCGAACTTGGGTCCTAAGCTGTAAAAGTGTTCGAGGAACAACGTAGTCAGGTGTGGCCTTGTTGCAGCCAGTCTTGGCAAGGCCATCTGCTGCCTCATTCCCCAAGATACCGACAAGACTGGGTATCCATAGGAATGTCACAGGACGGCCTGCATTCTGAAGTGTGGATGTTACCCCTCGTATTCGGAGGATGAGGTCCATATTTTCCCCTGATCCAAATGCGATCCCGTCGAGAGCAGACCTGGAATCGCAGCAGACAAGCAAGGGACAGAAACCATCTGCTTCTTCCTCAGCGAGAAGGGCAGCAAGGAGGGCTATCAGTTCAGCCTGAGTGGAGGATGCCCCGTCAGAAACTCTGAGAGACAGTTTGATAGCCTCAGGGGCATCAGGAAGGGAGATGTAGACACCAGCCCCGGCCCGACCTGTAGCGGGGTCAACAGAGCCATCAGTGTAGAGAACGACTCTACCTGGAGACCAGTGGGCGATCCGGGAGAGGTGGTATTTGCAGAGAAGAACAGGGTTCACGTGGGATTTCGGAAGCGGCCCACCGAGGGCAATCACTTCAGGTTGAAAAACCAGCCAGGGAGAAGGAGACGAACCAACAGCTGGGGTGACAACAATATCAGGCAGGAGGTCGTGTTCCTGAAGGGCTCGGATGAGTGACCCTCGCCAGGGTCTTCTAGATGGAGGTCGGCCTCGGACAGCAGGAGTCAAGTTGGCTTGGACATAGTTGCCCCGAGGATCCCGTAGAATGGAAACGGTAGTTTTTAGGTAAAACTCCTGGACACGATCCTGTAAGGGGGAAAGACCAAGTTCGGTATATAGAGAAGTAGAGCGTGTCCACTGAGGAGCCCCAAGGATGATACGAGCAGCTTTCCTCTGGATAACTTCGAGACGGTTGACAGCAGTCCGACTAATGTTGACGAGGGCAGGGGCAGCGTAGTCGACGCAGGAACGGACAAAGGACTTGTACATGGTGAGAAGTACAGGGATGGTGGTACCAAGGGAACCCCTGCACATGGTAGAGAGGGGAGCGAGACGCCGAAAGCATATGTCTCGAAGATAGCGGACTTCAGGGATCTGACAACATGTGCGAGTTACATACACACCCAGGTATTTTGTCTCATTAACCCAGTCCAAGGGCGTTCCTGATAAGAGAAGGGGGGGGAGGTACAACACGACCGTGCCACATGGCTTTTATTTTTGCAGTTGAAAGAAGGAAACCAAGTGAATCACACTCTCTAGAGACCAGGTTGATGCGGCGTTCCATGTCGAGTAGTTGTGAGAGAAGAGGGCGAAGATCGTAGATAGGGATCTCCCAGGGTACGTGGCGAACCATTACCTTGATACGACGAGTTTCTGGGATGATGATGGTGAACTTCAGCATCACCTCCCCCTGGGGAGCAGGAAAGCCCACTTGAGTAAGCAGGTGTACCGTCTCGTCCATTTGTGTGGTGACTATTACGGCTGCAGGACCTCGGCGGAGGCGAAGTGTTGAGTCCTGAAGTGGAGAGCAGTGACGGAAGAACCAAGTCATCCGTGTGCTCAGAGGCAAGTCCCGAGGAAAGGCCAGACTACGAAGGCGCGACGGGGCAGGGAGACGAAGGGAATCCCCAATGTCCATCGTCGGCGGAGGGTCGGTCATTGAGCCACATGTAAGCTCACTTGGGGACCCCGACGGCAGAAGGAGGCCACCCTCTACAACCCCAGACGGGGTGCGAGGGGGAGCCGTAGCCCCTGCTGGAGACCCTGACTTCTGAGGTTTCTGCTTCTTAGACTTGTCTTCAAGATGAAAGTCGTCAGCATCACTGTCACCTACTGCCGCCGTCTCCAACGAACGGGAGCGTTTAACGGCGGGCATAGGGCACATTGGCAACACTGCAGTCAGGTGGAGTGGTAAAGACGTCACTGCTACGTCACACTTCACATTGCGCAAACTTGAAAATCTTAGACCAGAGGGACCGGGTGGTAGGACCAGATGTTTTTATCCCCCAAAAAGATGAAGTCCAAAAGAAAAAGAAAATGATGCCGCTGTGCTGAAAATGGGTCTTTCTATAGTTGTCTACACAGGCTGGGATTAGTAGACTCGCTGAATTTGTCAGAAATACGACTTTTAAGGAGCAGTCTCTTACAGCCTTTGTTGACACTTACGGCACTCATGCGCGTTCTCCCAGTCATGGCATTGATTTTTTTTCTTAAGACTATAAACATCTCCACAGTTAGTTACGCTGCTAAGGACTGGTGGGCACAGTATTACCGTCAGTATGAACTACTCACTATAAAAACAGTACATAGAATTTTATTAGTTCCTCTTGTATAGAGTTTGAAGGTAAAAATTAGCTTAAGACGAGATACATAACGTCACCGACCTTTGAAACAATATTTAATACTTAACTTACAGAGACTAACCTGAGGTATCATGGAGGTTAGGTTAGGTTGGGTTGGGTTAGGTTATGTTAGGTTAGGTTAGGTTAGGTTAGGTTAGGTGTACCACTACTGTCACCAGTACCACACCTACATCACTACCAGCACCACACCACCACCACCACAAGAACACCATAACAGCACCACCACAACAACACCACCACAACAACACCATCACAGCACCAGCACCACAACAACACCACAACAAATCCCTAACAACAACACCACTACCACAACAACACCACCACAACAAAACCATAACAACAACACCACCACCACCATAACAACACCACCATCACAACAACAATAATACCACTACAACAACAACAACAACAACAACACAACACAACAACACCACCATAACAACACCAGAACAACAACACCACAACACCACCACAACAACACCACCACAACAACACCACCATCACAACAACACCATAACACACCACAACAACACCACACACAACAACAACTACCACAACAACACCACCACAATAATACCATCACCTCACCTAGACAATGTTGCGAGTGGTATTATTTATATCTGAGATCACTTTACAGTCTTTAGTATAAAACAGACACAAATTTTGAAAAGAAAAACTAAAACAAAAATTAATAAATAAATAAATAAAAAATCCAAAAAGCAAGAAAAAAAATGAACATGAGGTAACAATTAAATGTGTAATTACTAACGTCATGTAACGTGTTGTAATTATGTGATAAGAAATGTAATATAATAATTTCCTGCAGGTAGAATAATTTATACTATTAACCTGCTTGACGCCTCTACATTATATTGTACTTAACTCCGTCTCCAAGTCCTTGCATTTTTCATCGTCTATTTTCCACCACCTAAATGATACCGAGGGATAAATTTTGTCCATTGGTTTTAGTTGTCGTGAAGGTCAGCTTTGATCATCATGGTCCACCATAATAAAGATGGCCGGTGTGGATACGCTTTCAGGGCGATATTTATTTACTCAGCCACGTAAAGAGAGCAGAGAGAGGACCTTCATAACTAAACTATTTTATGTATTAGTTAACGGTGTTCCTTTATACATCTCAGTGGTTTTAATTTTCTCAACAGGTGATAAATTTGATGAAACTCGCACAAAATATAATATCTTAAGCTTTTTCGTAATTGATCAGTGTAGCTCTTGTTCTTTAGCCAAATTTGACCTTTATTGTGATTCAAATTTCATATAGATTATTACTGCTCAGTATGGGCCAATAGGCCCGCTGCAGTTTCCTCCATTCTTATGTTCTTATGTTATGTAGACACGACGCAATCGTGATACATATTTTAACAATCCCTCCAGGCAGTTCCACCGATTTCCCCTTAATCTGTCGTGACTAAAGCTCCAGCCTTTGTGTATTCTACAGAGTAAATCTGTGGGGTAAGTATCTGCTCGTCCGATGAAAACTTGATCTCCGGATTTATTCTAAAGATTGTGAATAACTAATTGCTCTCGGGAAGGAATTTACACTTACACAACAACCTTCTTTCAGCGTTACCACACATTAACTTTCCTTTTCTTTCCTTTATGTTGGAGCTAAACATCCACCGTTCTGGGGTTTGTATACGGCACAAGGAGGTTAATCATCTTGTCGATTTCTATATATCATATGATGTGTTAACACATCTCGGGGACTTTTTGCCAGCACGGATTCTTGGTAAAATCTCAGTTATATATATTCCAAGGGTTTTCAAGATATTATTGAGCCTAAACGAATGTGTTCTAATACGAACTTATATTTCGTTCAAAAACTTAAGACATTACTCTTTGTAGTTGAGGTAATTTAACATGACGAGAATTTAGTAACACTGAATAGTGTCCAAATATAAGGATATAAAGGTGCCCTCCTGTGGGACCAACACTGTATAGGTCTTCCACTTTTTAAGTCCCTAATAGAGTTGACTTTACTTTCTTATTTTCTACAGCAAATACAGCGGTTTGAGTTGTGAGGTTACTGTGAACTTTTCATTAAAGGGGGATTAACCCACCCAGGACAGGCCACCAACCCACAGCGGGCCGAGGATGGGGGGGGGGGGAGAATAAATAAATTGCACCATAAAAAATACCTGAATGGAAAAAATAAAAAAATCAAGAGTGAGAAACGATATATAAGTTGTGTTGTCAAAGTAAGAGAAACAATTAAGACCCTGCAATTGTGTGTAAATGTGGCAGAAAGTCATATCAGCAACCTGGGACTTGGTCACAATTTTCGTGATGCCATATGGCAGCAGGGTCTACCATTAGATGACACATTATGCTTCCAATATCTTCCCAGGCGGTAGTACCTCCCTGTTTGGTAACTGCCTACTACCTATTCCGCGGTCATACATAATTTTTACAGTTTTACATATTTGGCCTAAAACTTGCAAGCTCAACCAATGACTCTTGATGTTTTTACCATGCAAGAGGACGCCCTGGATACCTTCTCATGAGCACTGCAAATGGAAACGAATTAGTTTGGCCGACAATTTAAGAATCAAGTTTTCCAGGGGTTTAATATTATGTGTGCAAAATTTTCAACGGGATTCTACTCACAGTTTCATCTGCATCATCACCTTTTTCAGTCATTTTCCACACTTGTATGGATTAACCGTGAGTACCTGCTGGCAACTCTCCTCTCTGCACTGTCTTGCACTCTCTCACTCAGGTTTTTATCTCTTGAGGTAATATCTTACAACCTCTCCCCATGGTATAATTGGTCTACCCTTGGCTCTCCTCCTACCCACTTTAGAATTCAAGCATCTTTTTACCAGTGGAATAAATAGTTGATAAGCATACAGACGAAATTTCGTTCAAAAAGTTTTATTGTCGACACAAGAGAAGTTACATGATATTTTTGTAGGTTCTTCAAAATAAAAAGGACAACAGAGAATTATTGAAAGTATGTTCAGCCTCAGCATTTTTTTCTCTTAACTCATCTTGACGAAAAAGTAAAACATCAGATGTAATGTCGGAGAAAGAGAGGCGGTCGTTAGAAAATTATTATTAAAGAAGGAGGTCGACATGTCTCTACAGTCCAGCTCAGTACCGGGTGTAGTCGTCAGGTGCCGCGGCTGCCGCTGCTGCCTGCCTCTCGTAGGTCCTGAAGAACTCAGCCTTGGCGGCGGCCACCTCGGGTGTGTCGCGGACCTGGACGGGGGCGACGTTATAGGTGGTAGCAGGGAAACCATAAGGGTAGGAAGGGACGTCGGGGGTGAAGGCGCTGACAACGGGGCCGTGAGAGACAGGAGGAGATGGAGCGTAACCTGGAGTACCGTAACTAACAGCAGCCAACTGGTTGTTGTAGGCCCTGAAGAAATCGTTTTTAGCGGCGGCAACTTCAGGGGTGTCGGGGATCTGTTCGATTCTTCCGTTCACGCCGGCGGGGACGGTAGCAGCCACGGGACCCCTCCACCTGGGCTGGACGGGGACGCTGTAACTGTGGTCAGGGTTGTGGGCCTGATAGGTGGAGGCGGAGCACACTCCTATCACTGCCAGAACAACCTGAGGGATGGAGGAGAAGATTCACCGAATACCTCAATTTGCTGCCTTTTGTGCAATGATCAACTACAATATATAGGATCGATGGTAAAATACACAAATGTAACGACACTATTACTCCAGGAGTGTAGTCGACATCTGTGTGTAGTGCTAGTAATGTTAAGTTTCCTATTACGGACATAGAGTTACTATGTTCAACTCAGTACACCGTTCACATAATATTCTTCTCCTTCACCACGTAAACATAACTGAACATTATGTTTATACTGTATGCATATTCGTATGATTTATACAGTAATATGTTCATATCTTACTTAAATATCCGTACAACTAAGTCGAAACATTCATGTTTTGGGATTTTCTTGAGTAACTGAAGCTTGCAGGTATATTGTGTTATGTACTGCAGTATGGCATTAATGTAAATTATTATAAGAACACACACACACACACACATGAAGCTGTAGAGATGGTATACAGGACAAAAAACCTTCTGGTCTTCTGTGCTGGGTTTGATTTTCATTGAAAAGTAATCAACTTAAGAAATTCCGGCTTTGAAAAAAATATAAGCCGTTATGTTTTTCCTTCACCCTGTGTTTAATAATACACTAACACTTACACTAATGTACACAACCCCTACCTTGTGGCGTCTGGAAGCTCCTGGTAACAGTGACTCCACAAGCATAACTACAATATTTCACTTCTACGTCTCCTGGTAACTATGCTATCCATCTAAACCCAACAAACAAACTGTTCCTTACCATTTACTTTCATGTTTCTAATAAAATGTCAAAATGATTTACTAAGTCATCATCATCAACAAGACAAAGATCACGAAATTCTCTCAAAATCCATTGCACTTCTAAGGAAAGTTTCAACACTAACACTTTTTTCTCTCTTTAACTTCATCAAAATATGGAGTTATATAGTTACCAGAGTCCTCATGATGACCGAGAGTAAAGGTGGGAGCTAGACTGTGCTGGGTGTGGCTCCTCCCTTGCTATATATACACACGCCCCCCCGCCTCATTTTGCTTAACCCTGAGTCCCTCTTTCCTTGGGCCTTCTACAGCAACTCTGAGAATATATGCCTGAGAATTTCCCTTCATAATCTCTTGTGATATTAGTTCGCCAGATTATATTGTCAGTTCAACGGTAAAGTAAAAATTTTATTATCTGCCTCTCTGGTTTATCCCGAGTCTGTTGACAAATGTTTAGGCACGTAGGATCCCAAAATGTGGTTTACAGAGAATGTTAATCACGAGAATGTAACGGCATATGAAACCTGTATTATATATTTTTTTACTGAGTCAATAAATCGTCAAACTACCCATGTCTATAGTGTATAAATAATACTAAATTAGGGTTATATATACAATTACCCCAGTTTCTACCTTCACTGGTCTGACTGAGGATGTTTTGGGAGTGTGGGGGATATTATTTTCAGAAGAGATATAAAGCAGCCAATAATTCATATATATTACCAATTTTATATGACGATTCATCCTGTTGCTCAAGGTTGTGTACGTAGAATGAGCTCATGACTGCGATTAGCCATACAGATTCGTACTTGGTAATGACACGACGATACCTGAACTCTTAATACAATGACTGGGAGGTATTTTTGTATTGAGTGAATTATCAGATGTGTATTGATGTGTGTGATGGTTGATGAAACGAAAGAGAAAATGAATGCAAGTTATTATTAATCTCTTTAACTTATTCATTGATTAAAACTAATGAGGTATATAAGCCGTTTACCTGTTCTCTATTATTAATATTATAATTATTATTATTATTATTATTAAAACAGTAATTTGGTCAGCATATTTAAATTGTTTCTTGTCATGTTGCTTATTCTATTGTTCAATTCAATTTCAATTTCAATTGTTTATTCCTTGATAGAGGAAGCGGGATCCTAGTGCTGTCACTAGGTACCCCTGTACAATGACACCAGAAGCATCTGGCAAGTGTCACAAGTATATAAGGGTATAAATATTATAAAGGGGCTTACTAAAGCGCAAGGAAGGAACGATATTCCTTTAACACATAATCAATGTTATTTACATAATATGTGGCCAGTATGGGGAGGATCATCGTGTCTCCGTCAGGGGGTCGTGGAGTGGTGGTCCAGCAGGCGTCACGGAAGCGTTGTGTGTGGGGACATCTTAGGAGGTAGTGGATAAGGGTGCGGCTGTCGGGTCTTCTGCATAATGCACAAGAGCGTTGCTCTGGGGATCCTATTGTTTAATATTTTTCTTCTCTTCTTCCTCCTCTTCTTCCTCTTCTTCTTCCTCTTCCTCTTTTTCTTCCTCCTCTTCTTCTTCTTCTTCCTCCTCCTCCTCTGCCTCTCAAGATCTGATTTATACAAACTTACTTCACCACACATCCTCATACGCTCACTGAGATGTAACACGGAAACAGTAGGTGAATGATAGCATGACAACGTAAACACACTCACTTACTTACTTTTACAAACTATTACCTAGGCTGACCTTCACACGTTTATCTCGTTCTCATTGGAAGGTCTTGGCGAGTCTTTAGTGAGGAGTGGCTGCCTCTGTGTGTGTGTGTGTGTGTGTGTGTGTGTGTGTGTAAGGTTGACCACAACGAAGGACAAGAAATGATATGCTTGGACTATGAGAGTGCAAGCAAGTGTTGTGGTCCCTGATGTGTGTGTGTGTGTCGCCCTGGAACTGAAGGCTGACAGTGAGAAACATAACAAGAGGAGACCAACGTGTGAGAACAGTCTTGACGGCTCGGGTGGAATTATTATTCTTGTTTATATATTTTTTTCTTATTTTCCTCTCACTTTGTGTCCCTCCCCCTCCTCTCTCTCTCTCCTACACTTTCTTCTTCTTCTCTTTATTATTATTATTATTATTATTATTATTATTATTATTATTATTATTATTATTATTATTATTATTATTATTATTATTATTACTCCTTTATTTTCCTCTTCCTCCCCTTCTGCATCGTCTCTCTTCTATTTTTATTTTCTTTCTTCATTTGCAATCTAACCATCAAGTGAAATATGAAGGGGAACTAATCTTCAGGATAATTTGGTTGTCTGTAAAAAGTCTTTTAGCGTGTCATTTTTCAGTTCTTTCTTCTTTCTTAACAAATGTAAAAACATCCAAACCAAACCTAACTTACCTAAACAAACTTGTCAAAAACTCAGGGAAATTAAAAGCCAAACGGACTGTGAACAGCCACAGAAAGATCTCTGCCAGATTCAAGAGTGGTCGAAGAAATAGCTGTCACGAAGTGTAAGAGGTTGCTCCCAGGTCATACCAACAGTAAGAAGGCGTATCACATGTCCCAACGGGATGAAAAAACATCATTAACAGAGGCTGAGTATGAAAAGGACCTGGGTGTGATTGCTGACAATGAACTGAAGTTCTCGGGCCATTGTGAGAAGAAGATGAATTAAGCAACGTAGCTAGTAGTGGGGTGCTTCCCCGTTTGGAGTACTGTCACCCCGCCTGGTCCCCGAAATATGCTAGAGACTGTTAGTTGATTTTAAATGTCCAAAGGAGAGCCACTCAGACTGGTGCCTGAGCTTTGGCACCGCAGTTACCCAGAGAGATTAAAGCGCGTGCAATTGCCTAGCTTATACTACAGACGGGCAAAGGGGAACCTAATTGAAGTTTACAAACATCTCAGTGGGCACTACACAGTCGAGTGTCCATACCTTGGGCTGGCGGACGCCCGTCTCACAAGTGTTGAAGAAGCCATAAGTCCGGAAAACTGTGAGGGCAAACTTTTTTTGGAGCGAGAATTGTGAACTCTTGGAATAATCTACCAGAGAGTGTTGTGACAGCACCGAGTGAGAGCTATTTCAAAACCAGACTTGACCAACACTAGAGCAGGTTCAGATACATTCAGGAGCCAGTGCATGCCCAGTACTTGCCAACATTGTGTAACAGAGACGTGACCGACCGCCCAAGCAGCTCGATCAGTGGTGAAGAGGCTAAAACTCAAATTTAAAAGTAAAAATATGTTCTAAATTAATTTGGGTTAGTTTAGATATAGTATACTTGAGATTAGGTTAGGTTAGTTAAGTTAGCTTAGCTTAAGTTGGGTTTGGGTTAGGTTATGTTAGGTTAAGTTAATTAAGTTAGGTTAGGTAAGGTTTGGTTGGTATTATAAGAAGTTGACGGCTAAATAATGTGTCCATGTGATTCCCGGGTTATGGCAAAATAGTGTTTGTATTTGCTAGCCAGTTCATGGCCCACTCACCTCTCTTTACTTAACCATCTATTTTATCTACTTACTTTATTCAGTTAGTTGATTGTTTACATTGTTCAACCAACTCTTATCAAGTTACTCTAATAAATCACGGTTTATTAATATTTTTTAATCTAATTGGCTTATCTTTTTCTGGCAATTAATGCAAATTGTTCGGCCATAGTTAATGAGCATCTGTTCGAACATGCTTCAAAACTCCACGACCCAAGTGCTTCATTCAGAGTGGTGGGAAAATCTGCCTCAGCATGTATTACAACCAGCAGTCAGGCAGAGAGAAACAAGCGAGCAAACACAGACAGAACGATATAAGAAGATTGGAAGAGTGATGAGGTTATGGCCACTCAGAGTTGGGAGGTGTTGATGTTTGGGTCTCTCTCTCTCTCTCTCTCTCTCTCTCTCTTATATAACAAACAATGCAGAACATGACCGAACAACTTTGATCCTCCAAGTAAAATCACTGAAACACATTCAATTTCAGCAAAAAAAAAATCAAGAATAAAGATTCTAATGTCAAAGGATAATCTGTTCGTGTGTACAACCGCTGAGTGTGTGACAGCTGTGCTGACGGCCGTGGTAGAGTCGTTTATTAGGGCTCGTTTACACGATCAGTCTCGTAGCAGGTTTTGAAACATGGTAACGAAGCCGTGCTCTGGCAGTGATCGTGTAGACGGCAACACTGAACCACCAACCCTTCCCGGGCAGTTTCGTTTGGGAGCCTAATAGTTGAGTGGCCACCTGTGTGTCCCTGCCACTTATAGAGTCCCTCATATTTGTATCCGTCCTGGAAATATGTGGACGTACTTTATCCAAGAGTGTGTTGTACATTTCAGGGGTCATGCGAATGTATCGTTGCACGTCCTGTGTGTCCTCACGCTGCATTTCAGCAATGATTTGGTTATAAGCACCACACGATTTGTTCCTTAACCATTTTTTCACCCACACACAGTCCGTTTTCTTGTTTTTTCTTTAATATCATCCCAGGGGCCAAAACACACAACAGTGCGGCCGTCCGTTGCCGACTCGTCTGTTTGGGAGCCATGAACCTCTTGCCCAGCAGTCTACCACACACGGTGTGGCAGTTCCGTGTAAACACACTGTCCACTAAACAGTGGCCAATACCCTGCTCCGACCCCATGCTTCGCCACTGATCCGAGGCGTGCGCGACCACCATACGTGGTAACTGATCGTGTAAACAAGCCCTTAGTTACTCCAGTGCTTTGTTGCCACCAACACCTCTACAGGAAATTCATTTTCACAATTAGACAGTTTTCTCCGTCTTCCTTTATTATTAACATATATCAAGGAACTTGGTAAATCATTTTGTGATAACTGTTACTGAATATTGTAATTAAACAGGAGTCAATCTTATTTGGATAAATTTGGGAAATTTCTAATTACAATAACGAAGGGTTGGGTCTCGAAGGCTGATCCGACAGTCCAACTCAGTAGCGGGTGTAGTGGTCAGGCGCAGCGGCTGCCGCTGCTGCCTGCCTCTCGAAGGTTCTGAAGAACTGAGCCTTGGCGGCGGCCACCTCAGGAGTGTCCTGGACCGGGCCGGGGGCGACGTTATAGCCGTAGGTAGTCGCGGGGACGCCGGGAACGGTGGGAACGGATGGTACTCCATAAGACTGGGAAGGGACGACGGGGGTAAAGGTGTTGACAACAGGAGCGTAGGCGACGGGAGGAACGGAGGCGTAGCCTGGGGTACCATAACGACGGGAACGAATAGTGTCCACTTGGTTCTGGTAGGCCCTGAAGAAAGCATTCTTAGCGGCGGCGACTTCGTAGGTGTCAGGAACCTGGATGATATTGCCGTCGACGCCGGCGGGGACGGTGGCAGCCACAGGACCCGTCCACCTGGGCTGGACGGGGACGCCGTAGTGGTGGCCATGGTCGTAGGCCTGATAGGTGGAGGCGGAGCACACGCCCATCACTGCCAAAACAACCTGAGGGAACATAATATAACCATCTGTAGTTCTTATCATGAAGAAATAACAGATTCCAAGTTATTTTGTTACTGTATATTACAGAGAGTTAACTGTTGACTCTTTGTACGGCAGCGGCGCACTTAGGTATTTTATTCTGGCTAACGCCATACGATTTATTTCAGCTGAGAGAAACTCCTGTCCTACAAAGGGTTAATGGTGCTAAACGAAGTGTGTTGACCACTTATATGACTTCATGAGAACCAGAGGTGTTATAGTTACCAGAGCCTTCATGATGACTGTGTGTAGGTGTGAGCCGGACTGTGCTGGGTGAGGCTCCTCACTAGCTATTTATACCTCACTCACGACCGTCATTCCCTGGTCCTGTGGCCCAGTAATGACGTGTTTCATGGTGACTCTAGAGACTGAAACAATATTTTTCCGTTAGGTGAATTTGACAAGTACCTTAATGTACACTTGCCATTTTGTCGTTTTAGTATAATTAGGTGCTTCATGTACCAAGATGTTTATGCCTCTTTCACAGTTTTAATTTCTACAACAGACTAATTTTAAAAACTATTAATGACAGGTAGTTGTGTTTTGGTTATTTTATATAAAGTCTATCAAAATTACCCGGCTTCGCTCAGGTTAGATAGCCCAAAAAGGTACTCAAACTATCCAACCAGGAGCGAACTCGTAACAATGGTTTTAAATTTGACAAATTTAGATTTCGGCGTGAAATTGGTAAACATTGGTTTGGAAACAGAGTGGTGGATGAATGGAACAAGTTACCAAATATCATCATTAACTCGAATACGCTGAATAGCTTCAAACATAGGTTGGATGCTTATATGAGCAATAGGGGTTGGGTATAAACGGGACTGCCCAGTATGGGTCAATTGGCCCGCTGCAGTTTCCTCCATTCTTATGTTCTTATATACTGTATAATCTTGACTGTCCCACTTTACCCTCCCTGACGTGGGTAACCTGACCTAATTTAACTTAACCACCTCTAACCTTGACTGTTAGTTTGCCCTCCCGCAATCGCCGTGACGATATCTCTGTCGGAGAAGATTTTTGGTTCTTGTCCGGACTACCCTAGGGTCAGTGTATTACCAAAGTGCACAACCCTGGAACCCGTGTAATATTTGTGTGTAAAGTTTCAGGTCTCTGTCTTTAACTGCTTACGTTTGGGCGCTAAGGCTGAAACAGACACATCGCAGCAGGCATGGGAGAGTGATTAGGTGAGGAGGGTTTACGGGGGAGGAAGGTGAGGGTAGAGGTGAGGCTACAACATGACCGTGGGCGATGGGAGGAAGGTGAGGGTAGAGGTGAGGTTACAACATGACCGTGGGCGATGGGAGGAAGGTGGGGGTAGAGGTGAGGCTACAACATGACCGTGGGCGATGGGAGGAAGGTGAGGGTAGAGGTGAGGTTACAACATGACCGTGGGCGATGGGAGGAAGGTGAGGGTAGAGGTGAGGCTACACAACATGACCGTGGGCGATGGGAGGAAGGTGAGGGTAGAGGTGAGGTTTACAACATGACCGTGGGCGATGGGAGGCAGGAGAGGGTAGAGGTGAGGTTACAACATGACCGTGGGCGATGGGAGGAAGGTGAGGGTAGAGGTGAGGTTACAACATGACCGTGGGTTTGGGCGTGAGCTAGGTCGGGGGTGTGGCCTGGGAAATAAAGTTGATAGCGGAGGTCGACCAAGAATATTAAAAACAATAACCATGTTCTAAAAAATAACTATCCTTGGCACACCTGAAGATAACATCACATTTACCCGTAAAACCTAATTCCTCTATGATCGTATATTTACAAAAGATAACAAAATGTAAAAAATATAAGCCTTAATACCTGACATAATCTATCAGAGTTATGTTCAATGTTCAAGACGTCAGTGCCGGTCTTGGTAAGTCACGATGTTCAAAAAAACAAAAAAAACACAGGACGAAGCTGAAGGCAAAACAAGCCATTGAGAGATATAATCACGATCCCACCACGCGTGCCTCTCCGACACCGCCTGATGCCGTTAGCAAAAAACACTTCGTTAAGACTCGCGTGTTAATTTGCTCTTCGTTCTGGTGTTATTAATGATCCTCGTGGAGTGTGTTGAGGAAATAGATTAGTGTAGTTGTTTTTATATTTACCTCATCTCACTTATTCTTTTATCCATATTTTATTATATCTTTTTCAGTACAAACACTTAGTTAATTTTGATATATTGACCCGGCTTTTTTTTTTTAATATCCTCAACATTTTTTTTATTCTCTCGTGGTTTTTAGTTTCTTAACGACATCCTACGACATACTAAAGATTTCATTAACCTCTGACACTTTACGGCTGGGCTAGAATGGACCACCAGTCATACGTAGCATTTCGAACTGTAAGAAAAACACTTCACAACAGTCATAACCTATACAGTTAACAGGATATTACAAGGTATAAACATCAAATGAGGATATTATCAGATGTAGGATTTTAACCATTACGACAAGGTTACTCCACAGCGTATGTGTTATTCCTAGTGCGGTAATAGTCGACTGTTAAGTGTTTATTGTACAGTACAGACCCTGATGGAAATAACTGGCGATGATTTGCAGTTTTTGGCGATTAAATGACAAGAGAGAAATTTGATATACGAGTGTTATATATTTCTTTGTAAAGTGTGGGATTGGTAACGAGAAATACAAGAATATAATGGATTTTTTTTTTCAATAAGCTCCTGCTGAGGGTATTTCTGTTTCCTGAGAGTTGGTTTGTAGAGAGAAATATTTTTGATGACAAGTATTTGTAAAGAGAGCAACTGTAACGAGAAACAAATATCACAAAAAGTATCTGTATCGAAAAATATCTGTAATAACGAATATCTTCCCTGAGAAATACATGTACTGAGAAACACTTATTATGTGAAAAATAAACTAACAAAAAATACTAATAATTACGACAAAAATTAAAAAAAAATGTTTAAAACGAGAAGTACAATATACCACAGAATTTGTTCAAGTCTTACCACGAATGACATGCAAAAATTTGATGATTTACCACGATTTAGAGTCAAAACGAATCAGTATTTTACTCTGAATATCACTCCTAAATCGTTACTGATTATATAAACGACTTTCAGCTAGGAATATTACTCCAATTGTGGTTATAAGTAAACACTAAAATTAATCTAATATTTACTGAATTCGTTTATATTCTTCTGTATCTCTTTGTATTATAGTCGTTAGTGGTTCCGTTTGGCAAGAAGTGTATCGAAGCTTTCTATTTCCTCTACCTGTTTTCTATAACTTTATATTAAATCATTGTTTATCGTAAGGACTGCATATGAGCAACAAGTATGTGCAATATTTTCATCTGTTGTTGAATATTTTCTTAATTCTTTCTATACAGTTTTCTCCCATTATATTTTCTCCTGTCACAGGCGAGAGAAAGGCAAAGATAATACATACATACATACATACATACATACATACATACATACATACTGTACATACGTCCATACATGGGAGAATCAGTAAGACTTAAATCTCATACGAGTATATAATAGGAGAGGTAAAAGAAACTAAAGGCAAGACGTAACCGCTTAACCAGAAAGAGAGTCTCAGGAGGAACGGCGGACTGTTCATAGTATGATGACACTCTGTAGAATTAAATTAATTTAAAAATTATAAAAAAAAAGTTGTGAAGGACTTAAGTGGATGGCAGGTGAAGGAGTGAGGGTCGTAAGTGAGATATAAATGACGAGTGAGGAGCCTCACCCGGCACAGTCCGGCTCACACCTACGCACAGTAATCATGAAGGCTCTGGTAACTATAGCACCTCTGGTTCTCATCAAGTCACAAGTTGTCAGTAACTCTCAGTAACTTACATTAACAATACAATTATTGGAATCTGTTATTTCTTTATGATAAGAACTACAGATGGTTATGTTATGTTCCCTCAGGTTGTTTTGGCAGTGATGGGCGTGTGCTCCGCCTCCACCTATCAGGCCTACGACCATGGCCACCACTACGGCGTCCCCGTCCAGCCCAGGTGGACAGGTCCTGTGGCTGCCACCGTCCCCGCCGGCGTCGACGGTAGAGTCATCCCTGTCTCCGACACCTACGAAGTCGCCGCCGATAAGAATGCTTTCTTCAGGGCCTACCAGAACCAGCTGGATACTATTCGTTCCCGTCGTTATGGTACCCCAGGCTACGCCTCCATTTCTCCCGTCGCCTACGCCCCTGTTGTCAACACCTTCTCTCCCGTCGTCCCTTCCCGTTCTTATGGAGTCTCTTCCGTTCCAGCCATCCCCTCATTCCCTGTCGTTCCCGCGACTACCTACAGTTCCAATGTCGCCCCCCGGCCGGTCCAGGACACTCCCGAGGTGGCCGCCGCCAAAGCTCAGTTCTTCAGGACTTTCGAGAGGCAGGCAGCAGCGGCAGCCGCGGCGCCTGACGACTACACCCACTACTGAGCTGGACTGTCGATTTCTACACCTGAACCAACATAATTGACCATAGACACATTAGCAACACCTGGCTGATTGTAAATATATGATAACAAAATGCAGAATTGAAAATGGACCAAAATTCAAGTAGCCACCAAAAACTGTTGTGAACATCCCCCCAAAAAAAATATTTTGTGTATCGTTACAATAAAGGACGACGGTATATTTTCATATTAGTGAAAACCTGAACCCAAAATGTACCTGTCCATTCTTACGAGTGTATTAAGTAAATTAACACAATAATCTAGACACCTGGCGTCTGACACCTGGTATCTAACACCTGACTCCTGGCATCTGACACCTGGCACCTGTTGTGTGAGGTACTGTAGTATTACTAATACGTAATTTGTCTTAGTATGTCTTATTGTGGGTAAAAATAAGTATATATTAAATGCGTCCTCAGAAAGCGTGAATTTGCTACCAGAGTTTAACGGTTAATATTCATGTATAAGATTTCTGTTAAACTTCCTACGTGTTTGAAATAATGAATGTATGTAGCTTTATATAATTTAGCTAAATATCTTTCTCGTCAGAAGCGATTATGAATAAACTCATTTAGAAACACGTCATTACTTCAGGACGAAATCGGACAAATTTCCAACAGCCAATCAGCTGTAACTCTTGAGGAAGAGGCGGGGCATCTCTTCTCAGCTGGGAAAAAAACGCACTATAACAATATTTAGCTCTCAATTTATCATACCTAACATAACTCCGGATATAATAGCTAATATAACTCTCATGATAACATAACGAAATATAACGTAATATAATGTTATCCTTATGAAGGCTGTATAGTGTATTGGTTTTCGTCCTGAAGGTACATATTATTTTTATTATGGAGTAGCTACGTGAAACAGTTCCATTTCCCTTAAGGAACTTTTCTTTTGATCTTATGCTTCGTTTTCACACAATTATTGGAACATGTCAGGTGTGGTTATGCGGGGTGTCAGGTGTGGTTATGCGGGGTGTCAGGTGTGATCATGCGGGGTGTCAGGTGTAGTCATGTGGGGTGTCAGGTGTGGTCATGCGAGGTGTCAGGTGTAGTCATGTGGGGTGTCAGGTGTGGTCATGCGAGGTGTCAAGTATGGTCATGCTGGGTGTCAGGTGTGGTCATGTGGGGTGTCATGGTGTAGTCATGTGGTGTGTCAGGCGTCATGTGGAGTGTCAAATGCCATGTGAAGTTTCAAGTGTTTTATGTAGAGTGTCAGGTGTGTCATGTGAAGTGTCAGGTATCATGTGGAGGTATCAGTGAGAACATCTCCTTATTTTATGTTATTCTGATTACTGTACACAATTATATTCTCAACCTACCTTTGCCAAACACCTCTCTCTCTCTCTCTCTCTCTCTCTCCAATCACAAGTTAACTAGTCCTCACACCGGTAGCCCTGACAAACGACCTTCACCACACCTTACTCAGTGTTAACGCTATTAGTCTTCCAGAGGTGTAGGAGGAAAATGGAAACCATTAATAAGATTGGTGTGTGTGTGTGTTTTTTTCACTTAGTCAATTTTCTTCTCGTGTTTCGGAGTCCACACCCTTCCTCTTCCTCTATCTCCTCCTCCTCCCCCTCTTAATTTTCCTCCTCCTGTTTTTTCTCCTACTTTTATCTTCCTCTTCCTCTTCAACCTCTTATCCTTCTCTTCTACTTTTCCAATTCCTCACCCTCTCTTCCTTTTCTTTACCTCTTCTGTTCCTCCTCATCCTCTTTCCCTCCTCCTCCTCTGTTTTTCTCTTTCTCCTTTCTCTTTTTCCTCCTGTTCCTCCTCCTCCTCCCTCTCCACGACCTTCCTTACGTCACATTGCAGTAAGTCACTGAGGGTCAGGCGTTACACCACCACCTGCCTGTTAGTCTCAGCCACACCCACGCTGTAAATAACCAGAAACACATTCACGGCCCCAGTGTGGCTTGGTTAGGTTAGGTAAGGTTAGGTGCCTGTGGCGTTCGGTTCATCTATCTTTATCCTATTGTCATCCAATCCTTTAAAACAGACTTCAAACACAGGGAATTTGCTTTACTCTTATTGACAAAATAAAACACAAACGTTATCCAAGAGGTGTTTTTTTTTGTGTGATTGTTTGTTCGTTTGGCAGGATACACAAATACTTAGACTTCATGTATGTCTTAAAACAGCGAGCCATACTAATTAGCCCAGGTGTTCTTGCGTTTATTTTTACCTGTAGTGTCTTATCTATTTTTACCTCTTAATACTTAAAGTTCTACTGAGACATACATTGGATAATTCATGTGATTTACAATTAATTTAAGTCCTATTTAGATAAAGCTTAAAAAACTCTTAGTCATTCGTCTTATTTTTGTGTGTACTGTTTAATGTCTTATACTCTGAGTTTTATTAACTTTTTTTCACATTTGAGTGTTTGGATGAGCTGTTGAATGCTCTGCCTTCCTCTGTGTTCCCATCCTCTTACTAAGTCTCACGTCAAAATGCTGGTTTCCTGGCATCTTCGTGGTGGAGATTAACATAGTCTCTTTCTCTTCTATTTTCTTTTTACTCTTATTCTCTCCCTCCCCCCCTCACCCCCCAAGCCCAGTTGTGGGTTGACTACCTGTGCCCAATGTCATAAGCACTGTATATAATAAACATCCGTGTGAATGTGATTGTCCAAAACAAACACTAACACAAAAAAGGTGTTTTATATAAACATTGTTGTGTGTATTTTTAGTTAGAATAAAAAATGTAAACAATGTGTTTCAGATAAACAATAATGTTAACAAATAGTCATTAACAACACCAACACCCGTAACAACAGCCCGGGTTCACCTGATTGAAGGTCATAACATAACTACTGGTCACACTGTTATAGTTTTCTTATATTTTATTTTATAATTTTTCTGCTATGGTTGCTGGTGTTCCCTAAGGCGACAGTCAAATATATTCCTCTGGTCTAGAATAATATGATAAAAGGCGAAGGACAACCTGCTAATGAGTAGTGAGCAAATCAACGAATATGAAAAAAAGTGGAAAATACAAACCAATACATAGAAACTAATGATCATACACATTTCCAAAATAAACCCTGCACCAATCACAGTCAACAACGTACCTATACAATACTCCAACGAAGGCAAAATTCTGGGACTCACAATAACAAGAACAGGCATAGCAAAACACATAACACAACGCAAACAGATTGCCCAATCACAACTCACGAAACTACGAAGATTTAGCAAAATGGACACCAAAATTCAACTACAGTACATCTATTCAAAGCACTTGTCCGCCCCCACCTAGAGTATCCACCAATACCACTCAACACGATCAGCAAATCCAGCATCAAAGCAACTTCCGCCATACACCACCAAAATACGAGAACTTCACGAATTATACAATATCGAACCACTGAACACACGTACACACAGCCAAGCACAGAGAATATGGAGCAAACTTGAAGAGTTGGAGGACCCATTATTCTCCCAGTTAAAAGAAGAAGGAACTACTAAAACACACAGCTGGTGGCCCAAGAGCCTCCATGCTGTCATAGAAGAACAAGACCCACTTTACACATATATGTGAACAAATAACAACAAAATCTAACAAACATAAATTAACACCCAAACATAAATTTACACCCATTACAATAATGAATACCTAGCTAGCTTAGCTACCCCCCCCCCCCTCCACCTGCCTCCCTTGAGCAGGCGGGCGTGTGCTGCGTGCGGCCACCACCCCAACATATCAACTCGTCTCCGTTAGGTGGACAGCCCACCTGCTATCTCCCCCTCCTACTTTTCTTCCCGTTTCTATGCTTTACTTCTCTCTCTCCTCTCCTTCCCCAGTGCAAAGTCATTTGTCACTTTACTTCATTATCATCATCATCAGTGAGTAGTGTCAGAGGCAACAGGTCTTGAGGCACAGGTAGGTGAACCAGACGGGTATTTGGGTCTTGTTGTGTAAGTGGATCCAAAGGTCATGACTACTCGTTAGGAACAGTGTGGACACAACACACTGTAGACTAAGCTTTCGGTACACAAGGAAGCAACGTGACCGACACTGCACTCAACCACCTTCAATGTACACAACTCGTACAGTCTTAGATGCTCATTTACAGCTTGGTGAACTGGGAGTGTCCCGGGATCAAACTTACGGCGCGAAGAACAACAGTAAATAAAAGGAAAATCCGTCAACAGGTGTGTGTGTGTGTGTGTGTGTGTGTGTGTGTGTGTGTGTGTGTGTGTGTGTGTGTGTGTGTGTGTGTGTGTGTGTGTGTGTGTGTGTGTGTGTGTGTGTGTGTGTGTGTGTGTGTGTGTGTGTGTGTGTGTGTGTGTGTGTGTGTGTGTGTGTGTATGTGTGTGTGTGTGTGTCCCTTTAAACAAACCACACCATAACTCCAGGATGCTGTCGACCTTCTACTGGCCACAAATTAAGTCTTATGATAAATAGACAATGTATAACACAATACCGGACAGCTTAGAGGAGATAAGTCTTTACCTGTAGCTGTCTGTGTCTATCTATCTGGCTGTCTGTGTCTATCTATCTGGCTGTCTGTGTCTATCTATCTGGTTGTTTGTGTGTCTATCTATCTGGCTGTTTGTGTGTCTATCCATCTGGCTGGCTATCTATCCATCTGGCTGGCTATCTATCTATCTATCTATCTATCTATCTATCTCTCGATCTGTCAGTCACTGTTTATCTGACTGCTCTTCTGCTAATCTCTCTCTCTCTCTCTCTCTCTCTCTCTCTCTCTCTCTCTCTCTCTCTCTCTCTCTCTCTCTCTCTCTCTCTCTGTCTCTCTCTCTTCCTCTTTCCCCACTACGACTCTAAACCTCAAAAATTTTCACTTTGTCTTCAAGATGTTGCATATTCTCACGATCGTCCGTGATGGAAGGTCGGACGCAATCACTCACGGACACACAGCTATGCTCCACTTCCTCGCCTTGGAGACTGACGGAGAACATTAAGATTCTCACACAATAGTAAGGGAGACAATTTAGTAAAGGAGAGCGAGAAGGAAAGAATATTCTCACGTGCGGAAGGTAAAATATGTTGGTTAAATAGTTGATGGGTTATTTGAATCTCATGTGACGCTGAGAATCTTGTATTTACGTTATGTGTGTGTGTGTGTGTGTGTGTGTGTGTTACATACAGTATACTAGACATAGAGAGGGCGATGGTTCACAATATATAAACGATCTTGTTCATATATAATTTGACATTAAAGATACAAACATTATATTACCTATCACCTAACTATTGCTAGGCGTCACAACCACACACACCAAACTTGGCAGAAACAACCATTGTAATCCGCGACGTTTTATAAAAGATGTCAATTTACGAACTTCACATTCTGAACTAAAAAAATAAATAAAATTATCTATCCTCGTGGTTTTCACCATCAGAGCCTATTGTAAAAGATGAATACTCCAAAGAAATCGATGGCAGACGAGAAACAAAATAATGAATTTATTACTTGCATGTTACACGAGTGACTGTACTAATTTAATTAATTAAAAATAAAATACTGCCTACCCAGTCAATTTCAGTGTAATGTGATAAGAACAATTGATCTGAATTTCAAATTGTATCATTGTATGACTTGAGAATTAGTCGGTCAAGAGATCAACGTCGCCGAGGTCTGGAACGTGAGGAACAGCCTGCCGCAGGTCGTCCACGGTACAGCAGTAGGTGAAGCCATGCACCAGGTCGTTCAAGTCAAAGTTCACCCAGACGAGGCTGTCACACAGGTCAGGGCACAGCTTGGTGGGGGGTTCTTCGAGGTGGGGGTTGTTCACCCCCACTATGGCTGCCGCGCGCTTACTGCTCTTCTCATACACCACCTGTGTCAGAAACCACACCTTATGACACACCTTGTGCCACACTTCTATCACACCTTGTGACACCACCTTTACCCCACCTCACGACCCCTCCATACCACCTGTATTGTGTCAATAATCATTCAGTAACTCACTTCATCTATATAGAGATAAATATTTTTTTTTCACCTTTTAAACAACATATAGAGCGACTACCAAGAAAGGCGCACACAGACCTTCCAGGTGATGGCTGGAGCGGGCACCACCTCCTTGCCTTCTGTAAGCCCCAGGTAGATCTTGACGGAGTTATTGTTGATATCATCCAACTCCAGTAAGTCCCAACCACCGCTGTACACCGTCAGGTCCGAGCCGTGCTTCACTGCCAGGTCTCGAGTCGCGAATTCCAGGAACTGTCATATAGGAGGAACAGGTCATAATAGATAGGTTTGTTGACACTCCAGGTACTGTCGAAGTAGACAAGTAAGAGAAGGTCTTAAAGAAATAAGTTGTGTAATGATGAACTGGAATTAGACACAGAGAGATTATAACAAGTTAATAGTCCAGGTCACTAACAAAATATTAATCTGGCTTTGTTATAAAAAAAATTTAAACGGTTCGGATAACTTAGTATAACACTTGCGGGTTATAGTTGACATAGATACCATTATACTCCGGTAAATTCAATCAAAACAAAGCCACATTACGTAGCTCAAGTCAGTAAGACGACGCCAAGGCACAGTTGATTACAATCCGTCACAGGAAGTAAGTGATCCATGATCCCAGGTCCGTAAATTACAAGGAACTTAAAGTACTTAGGTCAATCAGGTCATTTGAGAGTATATTAGAGGAACTTTTGGTATAGGTGGATTACCTTCCAGTTGTCATTGTTGAAAGCCTGCCACCCACCTTCCAGTTGTCATTGTTGAAAGCCTGCCACTCACCTTCCAGTTGTCATTGTTGAAAGCCTGCCACTCACCTTCCAGTTGTCATTGTTGAAAGCCTGCCACCCACCTTCCAGTTGTCAATGTTGAAGGCCTGCCACCCACCTTCCAGATTTCATTGTTGAAAGTCTGCCACTCACCTTCCAGTTGTCATTGTTCCAGATGTCATTTTGAAAGCCTGCCACCCACCTTCCAGTTGTCATTTTTGAAAGTCTGCCACACACCTTCCAGTTGTCATTGTTGAAGGCCTGCCACCCACCTTCCAGATGTCATTGTTGAAAGCCTGCCACCCACCTTCCAGTTGCCATTGTTGAAGATGTCCTGCCACCCACCTTCCAGTTGCCATTGTTGAAGGCCTGCCACCCACCTTCCAGTTGCCATTGTTGAAGGCCTGCCACCCACCTTCCAGTTGCCATTGTTGAAGGCCTGCCACCCACCTTCCAGTTGCCATTGTTGAAGGCCTGCCACTGGGGGACGGCGTTGATGTAGTAGTAGGTGGCGTCCTGTTCTGCCTCCGTCACGAAGTCGGCGTCGGGAGCCATGTGGCCCCTGGCGAGGTAGAACTGCTTGTGGACGTCTATGATCTTGTGAGCCAAGTCCTACAGGGGGTGAAGGAAGGAGGAGGTAAGGTGAGAGTATCGGGGAGGGCGGGTGTGAGGGGGAGAGAATGATATAGGGAGAGTGAGGAGGTGAAGGAGAGAATCAGGAAGGGAGTGTGTGTGTGGGGGAATTGAGTGAGAGAGAGAACATAAGAACATTAAAGAACATAAGGAGTCTGCAATAGGCCGGTTGGCCTGTGCAGTGTGCATGGCACCTCCTGTCGAGAGTTACTACCACTCTCTATCATCCATGAATCTATCTAGCCTCCTTTTGAAACTTTCCAGAGTTCCAGCACTTACTACAAAGTTGCTAAGCTTGTTCCACTCGTCCACCACCCTATTTGTGAACCAGTTTCTTCCTATCTCCCTCCTAAACCTAAACCTATCCAACTTAAATCCGTTGCTCCGAGTCCTATCCTGCTCGGATATTATAAGAACTTTATCTATATCGCCTTTATTGATTCCTTTCACCCACTTAAATACTTCTATCATATCTCTCCGCACTCTTCGTCTTTCTAGGGAATGCAAGTTAAATTTCTTTAACCTACCCTGATATGGAAGGTTTCTAAGTCCCGGAATCATTTTCGTCATTCTTCACTGCACCGACTCTAATGAATTGATATCCATTCTATAATAAGGGCACCAGAACTGAACCGCATTATCGAGGTGCGGCCTGACTAGCGCAAGATATAGTTGCAATAAGACCTCTGCACTCTTATTACTTACACTTCTAGATATAAAACCCCAATACTCTGTTTGCCTTATTTCGAACATTAACGCACTGTTTTCTAGGCCGTAGGTCCGGGCTTACAAGTACCCCTAGGTCTCTTTCACAAGTCGACTTCTCTAGGTTGATGTTGTTAAGGCTGTATACATTGTCAGTATTTGTTCTTCCAATATTAAGTACGCTGCACTTGCTGGTGTTGAATTTCATTTGCCATTTTTCAGACCACCCCTGCAGTTTAGTTAGATCCTCCTGTAATGCATTTGTATCCTGCCCTGAATTAATCTGCCGCCCTATTTTGGTGTCATCCGCAAACTTGCTTATGTCACTGCTGATCCCAGTATCTAGATCGTTTATGTAGATTATGAGAGTGTAAAGGGGGGGGAGAGGGTGGGTGAGAGAAAATGGAGGTGAATGGAGGAGAAAGTATAGAAAGATGAAGGGAACTGAGAGACGGGGAAGGGGTGAGAGCAGGAAATGTGAGAGGCAAAGAAGAGAAGGTGGGGGAGAGAGAAATGGTGAGAAGAAAGAGGGGGAGGGAAGAGACAAAGTGACAAAGAGATAAAGGGAACAAAAGGAAAGAGAGAGAAGCAGCGAGATAGAGATATATAAACACAGGAAAATTAATCGAATTTAAGATATAAAGAATAAATAATAATCACAAACATTATTCACCGTTTCTGTCATTCCGTTTATCTATTGGTTTGTTTTTAATTCATCACATCTTTCTCTTAATATATATCTATACATTCATCTATTTACCTCTCTCTCTCTCTCTCTCTCTCTCTCTCTCTTTTCACTGACACATTTCACTACACAAGGTCTCCCTCAATAACTTTTATCCCCGTTAATTTACACCACAAAGACCGCAAACGTGACCGTCACACCTGGTCACACCTGGGTGGGCGGGGCCTCACCTTCAATTAACACATCTGACGTAGGTTTATCTGGAGAGTCGTCAGGGCAACTTCCGTTATGGCAATTTTGGTGATGGCAACTCTTCCTCTGACACTCTTAACCAACCACCATCCAGACAGTGATTTTTCTATCAAGTTTGTTTACGCAGTTTGGTGTGTGTGTGTGTAAACAAACGGAAGAACCAATCACGATGTTTCCTTTCCCCTTCACCACTCAATGACAAAAAAATGTCTCGGTCTTTTCACACTTCTCCAGACAACAGAAACAAATGAACCTTGGAACACTTCAACTCACCTCGTCACCCAACAGATCAATCATGAGGTTCAGTTGGGATTTTTCAGTGTAGACGTTGCTCATGGACACTGTGAAAAACCCAGTGGAGGACTTGAAACCTGGCCTACTATTATCTTTGTCCTTGGCGGCGATGTTGGCTCCGTGGATGACGTTCTCTGAGTACAAGGTTGTCTCTGCCTTGGGGTCGAAACACACACGTATCTGGAGGGTTTATGTGTTTTGTGAATCAGTGAAAAAAAAAAATAATGAATGGATTAATGAGAGCTGTGGTATGTGTTAAGTGTCTACCCAGTTCCATATCAACAAATACCCTTTTTTTTTTTCAATCTGGTTCTTCGTATACACATAACTGAGTATCCCCCTCTTCCCATTGCTGATTTTACATTTTCTTTTACCTTGGTATAGATATAACAGAGTATCCCCTACTCCTACTAATGACTATCCATTTTCTTTCACTCTTGTCCCTGGTTCAAAATATTACCTTTTACTTCTGGTCTCACGAAACACAATTATTAATGCATACATATCTTCAGTTTATAGACATTCTTTAATAAATTTCTCCTTAAGATCCTTCACTGATTGAAATGGCGATAGTAGAGTATTGAATGTTGTATAATGAAATATGATAATTATGCTAAATGCTAGAAATATATGCAGTAAATATGCTAAAACTATATTAAATTTGTCTTTTATACGTTATTTACACATTGTTTTCATCATATGTGTGTGCAAAGTAATTATGTAGAATTTATAAATCGTCAGGGATTTTAAAAACACCTATACGTATACCCTCTATTAAACAAGTGGCTATTAGGTTTGGACGCCGTTATGCTTGCCAGCTCATAGAAGTCCTCAGGGCCGAAGATCTCGAACCCGATGCTGTGGATGACGCCCATGTCCTGAGAACCGCAGCTGCCCATATCCCGATGAATGGACTCAGACAACTTCTCGGTGCACCCTAGTTCGAACAGCTGCCATTCCTGAAAGATACACACAAAGATGAGTAGAATATATACACACAGTCACAAAGGCTAGGTATACACACAACATACACACACACCTCTCTCTCTCTCTCTCTTTCTCTCACCGTGCCCTCCACAGCCAGTAGGTCACCCCCGGCACACACAGCCTCCACCACCGCCACGTCCAAGTTAGAAATTTTGGTGCCAGGGCAAGCCAGCGTCACCTTGCTCTTCGCTGCCAGCCTAGGGAAACAGGGTTCGAAGGATTAGCCACTTGTAATGCAGGTAAGATTAGATAAATTAGCTTATCAAGAAAGGTTGGCTGAGTTATAAGATTATTAGCAAAGTAAGATTAAAATGACTGGCTAGTGGATACTTTGGTTAAATCAGCAGGATTAGCTACTTACTTCACAGGCTTAGGTGAGAGGAACTGGTCAGCTAGAGCATTGTTAGGGTAAGAGGGATTGACCAGTTATAACACAAGCAAGGATTAGAAAGACCAGCTAATTATAACCATCTGAATTCGTTGGATCAGCCAGTTACAGCTGGCTAAAAATCTCGACTGTTCTCTTGTTTTTGTTCAGGTTAGGTCAAAGGTCAAGGTCAAAATCAAGGTACATCACAATCGACGACAAATTATCACTTTTGAGTTTTAGGAATCTACCTCCAAAACGCTTTAAGCTGTTGCCCTCAAACTTTTAGATAAGATTATTTAAACATCCCTTAAGTTTAATAAAGATCGGTCAAAGTTTAGTCACAAGTTTCAAAGGTCATTTGCTCGGGAATAAACTTTTACAAACTGGTTCTTGTAGTTTCCCCTAATAACTTTCCTAGCATATAACGGCATAGGTAGACTCAGGTGTGTCCTGTTTAATTAGTCACATGTGTCGCCACTTTTTTTTTTACGGGGATAAGCCCAACCGGGCACAGGTCACTGACCCACATCGGAGCCTAGGGGGCGAAAATGTAATTAATAATAATAATAATAATAATAATAATAATAATAATAATAATAATAATAATAATAATAATAATAATAATAATAATCATAGTAAACAAAATTTTTAATAAAATTACAAAATTAAAAATAAAATAATATTTCGTCGTAAATAAAATACATAATAAAAAAATATATAAATTAAATCATAAAATAATAATGATAACAATGATAATAATAACAACACTGTATGTTGTGTTGTCAAAGTAGGAGAAACGATTGAGAACCTACAATTGTGTGTAAATGAGGCAGAAAGTCAGATCAGCAGGGTCTACTACCATTAGACAACACATTATGCTTCCAATATCTTCCCAGGAGGTAGTACCTCCCTGTTTGATAGCTGCCTACTACGTAGCTTATCTTGCTAAACCTTGTTCATAGTAAGAGGGTCGGTGGTGATACACTTTGTGAGCAAGACACAACACGTCTCACCCAGCAGCGAGTTTATAAACATGGCGGCCGTCCTAATGTCACTTTATGTCTCGGCACCAACTAACCTCTCAAACATTGTACTAGCGAGTTTAGGCTCCAAGTGAGAGTATGAGAATAACACTGGAGGATAGGCCTTTCTGGGGAGTTTGTACATGCGTATATATGATGAGCCTTTGTAAGTAGTCTATATCATTTATGACTGTAGGTGCCAGCTGGTGAGGATAATAGAAGATGTTGTAACTTATATGAAATGTTAATAATCTTATCCCCTCATGTTTGGCACATTCTTGTCATAACCATTATTATTTTTGACAAGTTTAAAATGACTTGTGTAACACCACTCTTCTTCCACACACAGGGGGTTAAGAAGGCCACAATCTCTGAGTTTCTTAATGTTGACAAGCAGCCCGGGTGAGTGTTCCGACATCTCAACCTCTAACAAACTGTCCGAAGAGCACATAACATCCTGGATAATTCTTGAGTTAGGTCGAGATCGGCCAAAAGTAAAGTCCCATCGTCAGGTGTTGTCAAAAGAAGGTAGGATGTTACGTGTGACAGGTGTGTTTATGAGTGCATCATAGCCTTACAATAGTTGGTCACCCCTCTCTCTCTCTCTCTCTCTCTCTCTCTCTCTCTCTCTCTCTCTCTCTCTCTCACCTGACAATCCTGTCCTCTCCCTCCAGCACCGGGCGGACTATCTCGTGGGAGTCGTCCAGGATGATGGGGGGGTTCGGTGGGTAGTTCTCATCCTTGTTCCACACGCAGTCTTGAGCTGAGCATCAGAGGAGGTGGGGTCATGAGCCTGCTTACTGACTGACATACACAGATGTGGGTGTGTTCGACCGAGCGAAGGAAACATTGTAATCGTTTACCTATCGTGCGTGTGGTGGTGGGGGGGCAGGAACTTACACACCACTATTCCATAATATAAATGAATTTTAAAAGACAAAGGTTCTTCAATATGAAACATGAAAAAACAAAAGTGATGGGACCTCCCAAGCTCCCTCGCAGGTAGATTGATGGGGCGCTGTGGTGTCACTGTTGAGTGTAGCTCGTCAGAACACTGGCGATAGAAGTTTCTATAGCATAAGTGAAAGTGTCATTGCGAATGTACAACGTTGAAAGGTTTCTGGAAAGGTTATTATTACTGACTGTTTTGGTGTTTTATTATATGATGTATTAGAAGATGAACTGCCCCAACACCACGCCCAGCTTGATGATGACAGCAGTGGTCTACCTGATAGTGAATATAGTTCATATAAGCAGTCGCCAAGGGTTCAAGATTCATTGAAGTAGCTTTGACCAGAGATCTGATTAATTCTGCCATGGTAAGACTCGAGGTAAGGTTGATGCCGGAAGTCTCAGTGCTGTGGGAAAATGGTGTTACCAGGATTTATGTTACATGAGTCACTATCACGCCTGTCACTAAATGAGGCGCTCCGGACGAGAACAAGAAACAATAAAACGGAGTGAGATATCTTTAGTATTCCATGAGACTTATTTCGATATTGTTGAGCTTTAATTACGGTTTTAGACGTTTCTACCTTTGTCACTTGTGTACGTTACGGCATCTTGTGTTATGTGTTCAATTTTAGTAACGTGAACTGAACTGTGTTGTATGCCCTACACACCCAGTTAAGTGAGCCTGATGTTTGTTGTCTGGCATTAGAAATTTCATCCCATAAGACTGGGGTGAGTCAGAGTGAAGGATGTATGGAGGGTTGAAAATTTGTTGGTTACTGCACAGAAACCGCAGGCGACCATCCTCGTGCACTCTCAAGTGCGGTGTTTCCACAGATTTTCGGGGTTCCGATAAATCGGTCGAGAGGACAGTTGTGAATTGGTCCTACATTCACCTTCGGAGGGAGTGGGCCCACCCACCAGCCGATGAGTTCGTTGGATGGACGTTTGGAGACCGGGTTGATGCGGCGCTCCATGTCCAGTAGTTGTGGGAGAAGAGGGCGAAGATCGTCGATAGGGATCTCCCAGGGTACGTGGCGAACCATTACCTTGGTACGACGAGTTTCTGGGGTGATGGTGGTGAACTTCAGCATCACCTCCCCCTGGGGAGCAGGAAAGCCCACTTGAGTAAGCAGGTGTACCGTCTCGTCCATTTGTGTGGTGACTATTACGGCTGCAGGACCTCGGCGGAGGAGAAGTGTTGAGTCCTGAAGTGGAGAGCAGTGACGGAAGAACCAAGTCATCCGTGTGCTCAGAGGCAAGTCCCGAGGAAAGGCCAGACTACGAAGGCGCAACGGGGCAGGGAGACGAAGGGAATCCCCTATGTCCATCGTCGGCGGAGGGTCAGTCATTGAGTCACATGTAAGCTCACTTGGGGACCCGACGGCAGAAGGAGGCCACCCTCTACAGCCCCAGACGGGGTGCAAGGGGGTGGCCGTAGCCCCTGCTGGAGACCCTGACTTCTGAGGTTTCTGCTTCTTAGACTTGTCTTCAAGATGAAAGTCGTCAGCATCACTGTCACCTACTGCCGCCGTCTCCAACGAGCGGGAGCGTTTAACGGCGGGCATAGGGCACATTGGCACCACTGCAGTCAGGTGGAGTGGTAAAGACGTCACTGCTACGTCACACTTCACATTGCGCAAACTTGAAAAACTACGCCCAGAGGGACCGGGTGGTAGGACCAGATGTTTTTATCAAGCAAAAATGACAAAGTTCAAAACTTAAAAGAAAAATATATGCCACTGTGCTGATAACTGGGTCTTACTATAGTTATCTGCACAGACTGGGATTAGTAGACTGAATTCGTCAGAAAAACGACTTTTAAGGAACAGTCTCTTACAGCCTTTGTTGACACCCACAGCACGCACGCGCGTCGTTGATGACTTTGTCAACATGTTGAACTCCGTAACACACGACACAAAAAGACAATGAATTTCTTTACAACACAAGACAACTACACCCAGTGACCCCCTACACTTGTCACAGCCAGGGGTTATGTACACACATTAACCCCTTCCAGCTCTCTTAATAACCACCATGACCTTCTATAACAAAACAAATGTATTAATGAGGAGATCCACTTTTTGGGGGGTGGCTTGGGGGGGGGGGCTACATAGCTCTTACAGATAAGTTAAGACAAATGAAGCAGTGTTTTGATTTTCGTAACTAAAGATGCACTTAACTCGTTGGATTATACTGACTCACAAAAACATCATGTTTGGCTTCCTCTTTGATAACATCGATTATTGTTTATCTATTTTCTCATAATTTTTCGAATTATTTACCGACATGAATAGAATGACAACTAATTACATACATAAATAAACAAACAGACAGAGAGAAAACTTTACCAGTGACGGCTGCGAGGATGACCACATTGATGACGATTACCGAGACACACCGATGACTCCCCATTCTGACTCCACTCACTCTCACCTAGACTCTCACACACCTATATACTCTCACCTAGACTCTTACACCATAATATATAACACACTCACCCCCTGTGGGAGATAAGACTGTGAGAGCTGTGGGAATAAGGCTGTGAAATCTGCAGACTTGTTTTTCTGTCATGGCAAAAATTTTTATTCAGAGATAAAGTTCAATACCACTGGACTTACAGAGCTGTAGAAATAACACTATACGGGTTTATAGAGCTTTAGAAATAACACACTCTACGGGTTTATAGAGCTGTAGAAATAACACACTCTAAGGGTTTATAGAGCTGTAGAAATAACACAAACTACGGGTTTATATAGCTGTAGAAATAACACAAACTACGGGTTTATATAGCTGTAGAAATAACACACTCTACGGGTTTATAGAGCTGATGAAGTAACACATTATAGACTTATGGGACTCTATTTACGTACAGTATAATAACAGAGAAACAATAACTCTACAGGAGCGCTAAAACCTATAAGAGCTCTATAACTATAACATATAATTCTATAGACACGTAAACTTTATGGACTTATGAGAGTTCTAGTAACACAATGGACAGGTTATCTGGGTCACCATAGAGCTTAAACTGACAGACAGAAAGAATGGCAAACAGATAGTGAGGCAGATTGACAGACAGATGAAAGTGTCAACAGATCATACAAACAGAATGACAGACTGACAGGATAGATCGACAGACGGATAAGCAGAGTGATTTGCCAGGCAGAAACACGGACAGAACAGCAAACTGACAAGTAGACAGACTGACTGAAAGACCAATAAAGTGACAGACAGACATACAAATAGAGACAGAAAAAGAGAAACAGGGGCATAGAGAAAGATAGAGGGATAAAGCTGGGAGACAGGGAAATAGTCAAGAGCAGGTGAGACAGACAGACAGACAGACAGACAGACAACGGAACAGAGACAAAGACGTTAAGAGGGAGCAGAGGCACAGAGAAGCAGACAGACAAGGGGGAAAGAGGAAGACAGTGAGATGGAGACAGACAAACAGAGAAAGACAGAAACAAGGAGGAAATAACATAAACTAACAAAGAAAGAGAGACAGGGAGAAAAACTTAGGAGAAAGACAAAAAAAAAGTTAAATAGAGAGACAAAGAGGAAGACAAGACTGGAGAAAGGTTAAAAGGGATATAAAAGACAACAGAATTGGAGACAGAGAGAGAGAGAGAGACAGAAACATAGAGAAAGGATGAGAGAGAAAGACAGAAATAGGAGGTAGAGAGAGAAAAAGAGACAGATAGAGAGATAACACAATAAAGAGAGAGATAGTGTGTTTAGAGCGAGATAAACAACAGTTGTTAGTTCCCGAGAGAACATCTTCCTCCTCCTCCTCCTCCTTCTCTTCCTCCTCTTCCTCCTCTTCCTCCTCCGCCACCTCTTCCTCCTCCTCTTTCGTCTATTTCTTACTTTATTCATTTCTTCTCTTGTCACTTCTCTCCTGTCCGGTGTCACGCAAGATAGTTCCATACACACACGAGAGGAGGCAATGTCCTTACTCCACAACACGAGTCATGCTACTTAATGCCGGTTTACATAATATTGAAAATTCAGAGTTAATATGGATATTTAGGGTAGATTTTATCAGGATATCTTCACGTACACCTCAGTGAAGTTGTTATATAATTTATGCTATATTAAAACGAAAAGATGTTTCATGTATTATAATAAGTATATATAATAGTTCAAGAGTATTATTTAAAGGTTTATCATAAAGTTCATATACCGAGTGTTGCAGTGTGGGTATAGCTTCAATATCCTGCTAAATACCTACTGTATATCCTGACCTGATCCTGACTACGACTATCACACTGTGTGGTACACTTACTGTATTGGCCATATCACTACTTCTGCTATAGAGTTTGCCATATTTACTAATGCTTTTCCCTCCTCTGTCATCTGTGGACATAAACACCGAGTGTGATGAGAGGTAAGTCACCTGCAGCGCCTCCCTCACGTCAGATGCGGGGTTTCTCAGGCGAGGGAGTGTGTGGGGGTAGAGGGAAGGTGTGGGAGTGCATGAGTGTGTAAGGGTGGAGGGTAAGTGGAGGGAGTGTGTTGGAACAATGCAGAAGACGTCTCTTTGTTTTGGGGAAGATGATGATAATAATAATAATAATAATAATAATAATAATAATAATAATAATAATAATAATAATAATAATAATAATAATAATAATAATAATAATAATAATAATAATAATAATAATAATAATAATAATCCAACATAACATAACTAACCCGATCTTAATCTACCCTAACCCAACCTAACTTAACTTAACCTAAATCCCCCCCAGATAAGGTATTATATCATCAGGTAAAATAAGTTAGGGAAGGGCACATTAACCTTAAAGTGATCCAAATTAACGAAATATAAATAAAAATATTTAAATCCTGAAGATGACTTTCTGACGTTCACTGACTGATGGACTCCACGAGTAAATACAGTTAACGATATTGGCATCACTTGACACAGTAATAAGGTTTCGTCGTTATTCAGTCATCCAACGAAATTGCACCCCATACTTTAGCCCCAACACTTGTGGAATTATGACACACCTGGCCAGTAATGAGTTCAGGTATGCACAGTATATATATATATGAGTGTGTGTGTGTGGTCGCAGGTTCTAGGAGATACTATCGTCACCATGGCGCCTCTCACAACACTCGTAGTGCTGGGGCTCTTCCTGCTGGTGTCCTGTGAGTTTAATGATTGCGATGGAAATGAGAGAGAGAGATGAACGCCACTAATTATATTACATTTATCTAACAGTGTGTGTGTGTGTGTGTGTGTTTGTGTGTGTGTGTGTGTATCGGCTGATAAACAACCCAACAACAAACAACCAATATCCCAGTGCCAAATGGTGTCCCATCAAAGCTGTCATCACAAAAACCTGCAGCGAGACCCTCAGCCAAATACAACAACCTGTGCATTATGGGGGATTTCAACTTCAGAAATATTGACTGGGACAACATTATAGGTGACTATCAATCTGAAGACTTCCTAGACGCAGTACAGGACAGTTTTTTTTAAACAACTGATTACAGAACCTACTAGAGGTGACAATATATTAGACCTAGTATTAACAAATAAAGAAAATATTATCAGAGATATAACAATAAGGGAAGAACTAGGGAACAGTGATCACAGAGAAATCAGGTTCACCCAGACTTGCGATCGGCAGATTATGAGGGGTTACGAAGGTACCTAGGTGAGGTTGCCTGGGAACAGTCAGGTCAGTCCCAAGTAGGAATGGGTGAGGCCATCGGAGACACAACACTTGATCATGACTATAATGTATTCACTAGTATACTACGTTAGGCATAGGAACAAAATATACCATACGGAAAAATTAAATCAAACAAGAATGAGCAAACGTGGATGACCAAAAAACTTAAACATGACATAGGAATAAAGAAAGGAATTTATAAGAAATTAAATAAGGGGAGGAGCATCACAGAAATAGGCATAATGAACTATCTAGGAATGCTAAGAAAAATGTAAGGAAGACCAAAGAGGGACTACGAAATCAGGATAACAAGAGAATCCAAGGCAAATCCCAAGGGATTTTTCCAGGTATATAGGACAAAGGTCAAGGACAAAGTGGGGCCTTTAAAGTAAGAGAGAGGAGAAGTGATCGATGATAGGAGAAAATAAGCAAAGCATTAAACAGCTACTTCTTATCAGTCTTCACAGAAGAATTTCACGAGGAAATGCCAGAGATGGAACTGATATTTAGGGGAAATGAAGAAGAGAAATTAAAGGATATCACTATCAAAAAAGAGGATGTTCTTAAGAAGATAAATAAATTAAAGAAGACAAAATCCACAGGGCCGGATGAAATTTTCCCTCGAGTTTTGAAAGAGTGTAAGGAACAGATTAGAGGACCCCTCGTAAATTTATTTACAAAATCATTAGACACGGGAGTTGTGCCAGACTTGTGGGAACAGGCAAATGTAGTACCCATATTCAAAAAGGGAGACAGAGCATCTGCATCAAAATACCGGACGATTAGTTTGACATCAGTCGTGGGGAAATTTCTTGAATCAATTACAGCAAAACGCATCCGATCGCATTTAGAGAAAAACAAATTAATCTACGACTCTCAACATAGATTTACAAAGGGAAAATCTTGTCTAACAAATCTGCTGACGTTTTTGAGGAAAGTCTTCGAGGTAGTAGATAATGACTAAAATTACGAAGTTATTTACTTAGATTTTAGCAAAGCGTTTGACAGAATACCGCATCAGAGGCTTCTGAGAAAAGTTAAGGCTCATGTTATTGAGGGGAAATTTTTAAATTGGATAAAATCATGGCTCACCGATAGAACACAGAGGGTCAGCGTAGATGGTGTTAAATCTGAGTGGGGCCGTGTAACCAGTGGGGTTCCCCAGGGGTCAGTACTGGGCTCACTCTTGTTCATAATCTACATAACGACCTAGATACTGGGATCAGCAGTGACATAAGCAAGTTTGCGGATGACACAAAATAGGGCGGCAGATTAATTCACGGCAGGATGCAAATGCACTACAAGAGAATTAAATAAACTGCAGGAGTGGTCAAAAAATGGCAAATGATATTCAACACCAGCTTCCTCAGGCGGAAAACTCCCTCGCAGAATCTCAATGTGACTTTAGACCATCACGTGGCACCACTGACATGATTTTTGCTGCCCGCTAGTTACAGTAAAATTGCAGGGAACAGCGCCGTGACTTGTACATGGCCTTCATTAACCTTACTATGGCCTTCAATTCAGTCGACAACAGGGAAGCCATCTGGCTTACCACCAAAATTCATTGCCATTGTGAAGCAACTCCACGATTGCGTGAACGGCAGTGTCCTACACAATGGCACCCAGTCTGAGTTCATCCCCATCCAAACGGGGGTAAAACAAGGATATGTACTGGCACCAACTCTGTTTTCCATTTTCTTGGCTTCCTTCCTTACTCGTGCCAGTGCCAATTTAGCCAGAGGGGTGGGCATCCAGTGCCGGATGAAGGGACTTTTCAATACAAGTCAGGAACAAATGTGTCGGCAGCTTCCATCACTGAACTTCAGTACGAAAACGACCTCATCCTCGTCGCTCACACTGGACACGACCTAGAGAGGATCCTGAACACGACCTACCGAGGAACCTGAACACGACCTACCGAGGATCCTGAACACCTACGCAGATGCGTATGCACACTTTGGCCTTGAGGTGAATGCACATACGATTCAGATTCTCTTTCAGCCTGCCCCGGGTTCAACCACACCACAATTACTCCGGCTTAACGGTAATACCTTCTCTAATTTTACCCACTTTCACTACCTTGGCTCCCACCTGTCCACCACTGCGGACATCGATGAGGAGATTCAACATCGGATCAGATGTGCATCTCAAGCCTTTGTCAGACTCCTCAACCATGTCTTCAGCTGTGGGGAGCTGAAATTATTTACAAAGTTGCACGTATATCAAGCAGTGGTCCTCCCCACCCTGTTGTATGGCAGCGAGACATGGGTCACATACAGATAGCACCTCAAGGCACTTGAAAACTTTCACGAACGTAGTGTACGTTCCATCCTCCGAGTTCGCTGAGAAGACAAGAGTACAAATACCAGTATTCTCGCTGACACCAACTGCTGGAGCATCGAGGTTACCATTATCCATGAACAACTACGTTGGACTGGCCATGTTGCCCGCGTGGACGACAGTAGAATGCCAAAGCAGCTGCTTTACAGTCAAATAATGAATAGTAAACGTAATGCTGGCTGGTAACTGAAAGGGTATAAGGATAGTCTTAAGACAAACCTGAAACAGTGCCAAATCGACTCCCTCACCTGGGAGATGACTGCTTCACACCGTAACGCTTGAAGGAACACCACACGAGAAGGTGTCAATACTTTCGAGTTAGCCCGATTGCATACCGAGGCAGACAAGCGCCAACGCCGGAAAGATTTTGCCGCCACCCCTCCCATACTAGATGTAGCCCTCCACATGTGCAACATCTGTGGGCGACCCTGCCGGTCCCGTATCGGCCTCTCTAGTCACCTTAGAGCTCTCCAACAAAGGTGACATTCCTAATAAATCATATCATTGTCCCATAGCTTGATGATCGCCATCCTCGATTCCGAGTGACAGCAAAGTAGTAGATAATATATCTTGTTGTTTAAGCCGTTTCCTGCTACTTTGTAGTAGTAGTAGTAGTATCTATTACTTTGCACCGAATAATGATTTCCTTCCCTGCTACTAACATCATCGTTGCAGGTGAGGACTGCGCGTGGAACAAGGACAAGAACTATCCTACCAAGAATCCTCCGCTCATCCTGGACGCCTCCTTCAAGCTGGTCCTTCCCGTCCTGGAGGGAGAGGACAGAATGGTCAGGTCAGGCTTCTGAAATTTGATCCTACTGTTAAATTCTGACTCTCTCTCTCTCTCTCTCTCTCTCTCTCTCTCTCTCTCTCTCTAACCACACTTTTGCAATTTATTCGTCTCATCAATATTCCAGGACTATTTAACTCAATCTAACCATTATGCTAAGATCCCAACATTACTGGGGCCTAATTTCACTGAGGCACATTGAGATTGAAGCCTATTATGAAGGCCCTACTAACTAGTCATCAAGATATTCTAACATTGTTTTTTACCTTCGTTAGGCTCTCAGCAGGCAGCAAGGTTACTCTGGCGTGTCCTGGCAGCTCTCTGACAAAGTTCAAGTCAGAAGCAGTGAAGGCCACGTGTATAGGGGCTCACCTGCTCGCTGTAGATGGGAAGGTAAGAACACCATAATCACCAGACGACGCTGAAGCTGCTCCATATGGTCAGATGAAATGAGATAGGTGTGCATTCCCTTGTAAAGTAAATTATCTCTCTCTTTCCCTCACTCTACCTCAGCAAAAGGTCTTTTATATATCTCCCTTTCCCACCCACTGTAAATAATCTCTCTCTAAACCTTTACCACATAAAAGTGCTCGTCTCTCTCCCTTACCTCAGTAGCACCCCCCTCCCTACTCTCCCTCTCCCTACAACAGAAACATGTCCCCTCTCGGAAATAACCACAGAATAGGCTCTCTCTATATATTCCTTACCACAATAACAACCCTTCTCTCTCTTTATATATGAATCTACCAAAGAAAAAGAGGCCGTGTGGGTGGAAGGGAGGAGGGGGCATGGGGAAGGTGGGCACAGGATTTTTTCCCGTCCAACAGAAACCTATCTCCCTCCCTTCTATCTCCACCATTAACGTCTTCCCACCCTCTTCCCCTTCTGCAGGCGTTTTCCCTGAAAAAGCTGAGGTGTAGGAGCCCTGCCAAGTCCACAATCCGTCGTGAACTGGGCCGCTGTGGTGCTGGAGATCTGGGACATCTGCAGGCAATAGGTTTCGACATCCCCACCCTGAGCAAGTTTTATGAAGTGGTGAGTCCGTAGCCACGTATCTCTGTAGTTCATTGGGTGTTTGTGTATTTATCTGTGTATTTTTTGTACTCCATTCGATGTGTATGTATCTCGCTTCTGTCCTTCTGCATATTTTTTTATTCTTCAATGCGCATACGGGGATCTGTGTGTACCTCATCAGTATATGTAATTCCTGTATCTGTTGGCTGGTGCCCGTAGTAAAACAAAAGTGATAATGCTTTACTCATACATCCGTGTACAACAATGATGTGCGTATTTCAGTAACACTCACAAGTGCAATATTTGTGTCAGGGTGTAATACAGATGTATGTGTATTTCAACAAGTTAATGACTGTAGATGTATACCTAAATCAAATATATACTGAGTTTTGTATACATACACTCCAGGCCAGCTTCCAGCGTTTGAATAGACAAACTTGGTAACATTTGTAAATTTTTCGCGCAAAGAAGAAAATATCAGTTGTTTCCTACGACTAAGAACGACCTTCCCAGATCCGCGTCTGTTACGACAATGAGGCGGACACGACCCTGTACTCAGAGCACATCATCCACGGCGCCAACATCTTGGCCAAGGACGTGGACCTAAAAAGACCGCCCTTCAAGGCCTCCTCCGGATTCTTCAACGTCTCGGCTAACACCTGCTACACCAAGGCCAATCAGCTCAAGCTTATGGAGACGCTTCTCGGTGACTCGGTGAGATAAAGCTTTCCCGACTTTTTTTTTTTATGAAATGTGCTTTTTCGGGTCTAAGGGGAAGGGAGGAGGGGAAAGGCTCATATCCATTGTATTACTTTCATGTTACACCAGTGCCGTTGTTAGACCCAGGTGAGTTGTGAGTGAGGTAAGAAGGGAGCCAGGTAACTATAGGTAAGCAGTATCATGGCTTCCCTGACCACAACCATCTGACACTACCATGGAATATGTCAGTAATACCAATCTGGCTTCTCTGGCACTACCATGATAATGTCAGAAATATTATTATGGTTTAATGGCATTCTATCCTAATATGTAAGTAACTTTAGCGTTGTTTTTGTTACTACTATAAAAAAAAGGCATCATGGTTTCTTCAGCCATTACCATGAAATATTACTAATAGACTCATATAATCTAGACTTTCTTTGACCACTACCATGAAACATAAGAAACACAACTATTAATCCTTAACCACTACTATGAATCACCAGCAATATAACCATAGCTTCTTATGACACTACCATAAAACATCAACAACACTACCATAATATTCTTGACTAATACCATGAAACAACATAATCAAGGTTTTTTTTTACGATTTCCCTAGCCACTACCATGACACATCAGCAACATAATCATGACTTTCCTTCCCGACAGGACCTGGCCAAAACCATGATCGACTCCCGCAAGCAGTTCTACCTCGCCAGGGGCCACATGGCTCCTGACGCCGACTTCGTGACGGAGGCAGAACAGGACGCCACCTACTACTACATCAACGCCGTCCCCCAGTGGCAGGCCTTCAACAATGGCAACTGGAAGGTGGGTGGCAGGCCTTCAACAATGGCAACTGGAAGGTTGGTGGCAGGCCTTCAACAATGGCAACTGGAAGGTGGGTGGCAGGCCTACAACAATGGCAACTGGAAGGTGGGTGGCAGGCCTTGAACAAAGGCAACTGGAAGGTGGGTGGCAGGTCTTGAACAAAGGCAACTGGAAGGAAGGTGACAGGCTTGCAACAATGGCAACTGTAACGTGGGTGGCCAACTAGATAGTGCAGACATTTAAAACTCTCATATCGTCAGTATAAATCTGTTAACTACAGGAAAACTCTCTCTCTCTCTCTCTCTCTCTCTCATTTTTTTCATATACATTTCAAGCATTCTCTCCCCTTATCCATCTCTTTCTCATTCCTTTATCTAATACCCAACCTTCATCTCTCTCTCTCTCTCTCACTCTCAACAGTTCCTGGAATTCGCTACTAGGCGCCTGGCGGTAGAAAGCAGCAGCAGCCTGAAGGTGTACAGCGGAGGGTGGGGGGTCTTGGAGCTGGCGGACATCAACAACAACGCCGTCGACATATACCTGGGACTGGTACAGAAAAAGGCGCTCTTACCTGCCCCGGCCATCACCTGGAAGGTCTGTATCAGGTGTAATATAGTACTAATTGTTTGTTGAGTCAGCACTTATTTTTTTCTAATTAGAGCAGGTAAAGGTGGTATCACAAATTGTAGTAGAAGTGTGGCACAAGGTGTGTCATAAGGTGTGGTTTCTGACACAGGTGGTGTATGAGGAGAGCAGACAGCGCGCGGTGGCCATAGTGGGGGTGAACAACCCCCACCTCAAAGAACCCCCCACCAAGCTGTGCCCTGACCTGTGTAACAGCCTCGCCTGGGTGGACTTTGATGTGAACAACCTGGTGCAAGGCTTCACCTACTGCTGTACCGTGGACGACCTGCGGCAGGCTGTTCCTCACGTTCCAGACCTCGGAGACGTTGATCTTTTGACTATTGACACTACAGAGGGACCAGGGGGCTGCTAGGACCACTCCAAAGACCACAGTACCAGCAAGACCGCTATAAATGGAGGATGCTTGCTGACACTAAAAATCTAGGCCTTTTTTCTGCAGCACAAATAATGTGAATAATAAAGAAAAAAAATGATTCCTTGCATGTTTTAGTACCAAATCATGTCACACAACACCGTATAGTACAAATAACTGGGAGTTGGGTTACGTTACTCAGCGTAAGTCAAACTTCACAATATGAATAGCTCAGAGAGGCATTTACCGAGTGTAGATCTGCAGGGAACAATAAATGAAAATAACTCCGAATTACCTGACATAACCTTGTACAACACACACACACATTACTGGCTGCTGTGAAACGCGAATTATATACATCAGGTTTGAGGCAATAAAACAGTAATAATAATGTCTGATTTCAATTCCTTATGGCTATTTTATGACAAGGAACTATGTCATATGTAAATGGGACAAAGAGTGAGATTCGTACACAAAAAAGTACAGACAGACAGACAGACAGACAGATAGATGGATAAATAAAAAATGAGATAGAAGGAGACAAACAAGAAACAACCTAAAAAAGCGAGAGAGAGAGAGAGAGAGAGAGAGAGAGAGACCGGCGCGACCCGAGGGTGAAGATCAGGTATCCCGACTGCCAGGTAGCCAGTTTCTTCAGGTGAGAGTGAGGGGACAGACGACACGTGTCTCTGTCTCTCTGTCTTTTACTTACCTGTCTAGGTGACTCCCGACCAGCCGTGAACATGTCCAATGTGTTCCACTGATTTACACCAATTGACCAAGTGTAAAAAAAAAAAAAAGGAATATCAGTGAAAGTCGTCGAATGATTTACACCTATTTACCTAAAAATGTGTAAACGGGAGAGAAAAATTTTCGAATATTTTGATTTTATGTAGACAGTTACATATAAATGATTAGTGATTTACGCTAATTAACAGAAAAACTGTAAACGAGAGGGTGAAATGGCCACAATAGACGTATAATTATTTACATTATTTAGAAAAAGTGTAAACGAGAATGTAATTTTCTTGAATATGATATTTTTACAGAAACGGCCACACGCACTTGTTTAGTAATTTACACTCATTTACAACAATACGTAACCGGGGTCGTGAATTTATCAACTACACATTATTAATTTACAAAATCTAACAATGAAGTGAAAAAGAAGCATTATATGAAACACCAGGAGTTATTGATCACGTGTATATAAAACTGTAAACATTCCCCCCAAAGTATGACTAATTTACACCATTTCCCAACCAACTGTAAATGAAGTGTAAATACCTTCAAGATAAATTGGCACAATAAAAATACTTTTAATTTACACTTATTTACAATCAAGTGGTAAATAATACATCTTGTCTTGAGTGTAAATATATAAATGAATTCAAGTAGTTGTATTGTTGAAATAATAAAAAAAAATTATTTATTTTAGGTCTATAATCCATTACAACAACAACCTTCTTCTTGACCTCTTTACTGACAGGTCAAAAGGTCAAAGGTCACGAGGTCAATGTATATAGACTGAAATATAGAATTAGTAAAATATGAATGTTGATAACCATAGTTATTTATATTCACTTTATGTTAAATTTACCTTACGATTTGCTCATATAATTTGCATTTTTTTTTAATTTACAATAAAGTGTAAATAGCAAGACGATAAAATAATGTTAGACAATAACATATATTATTTTAGTTTTACAATGAACGTCATAATACAAATAATTTACACTCAAGTATAGAGTGTAAATGAGTTGATGATTTAAAGTTGTAAATGAAATAGTGATTCAGAGTTGTAAATTATATAGTAAACTGAGGTTATAAAATACATAGTCAATTTAGAAGCGTAAATCAAAAGAAGACTAAATATTTACAAAAATCTTCAACAGTATGAAAATTAAAAAAAAAAAAAATAATAATAATAATTGGTAAAATCTCTCTCTCTCTCATTTTTTAAACATTCGGGTTACTTATTAATAACCCGAAAGCGCCCTCCGAGCCGTAATCCATTTTTTAAACCAATTTTTGACAAGTTATCATTTGGTAGTCCGACAATATTATTGGAAAGTTCGGGATAAGTCCTCGGGTATGGGTAGGCACCCGAAAGACTTATCCCCAATGTTCAAACTACTGTAGTTATATATGAATAGAAAACGTCTCTGAAATATATATGCAAATTAAGATGAGATAATAAAGAAAACAAATATTTAAAATTCCTAATAACCGGTTCCAATGGAAATGTATATATTTTTAAGAGACCACCGAGTACCCCCGTGATGTTTTACCTTCAACTCCGAAGATTTTTAGTCTCCCCATCGACCTTCTCCAATTTTATCAAGCATTGTATTCCTACAATAATCCTCTTATGTTTCAAGTATGTTAAACGCACTTTCTTTGTGATAGATAAATGTAATGCCATTTCCCAATTCGCCAATATATATTATATAGAAAGATATAAGATGAGCCCAATATAAGGAAGGTTGCTGAGGTAATAGTTTACAAGTATGTCTGTGACCCTCGCTCATAATTACTATGCGAGAAATTTCCCCTGCTATATTTCACTGTTTGGGTTGTTGTTCGGTTGGTTTGGTAAAAAAATTGTTTTAGATAATAGATTTTATTATCAAGGTTACTTTCCAATAAATTTTTTGGCTTTAAATAACACATTTTATTTCCTCCAAACATTATCACAGTACAACTTGAAACAGTATTTTAATTCAAACAAAATTAAAAAGGGATTACACTGGCATGACTAAAGAAAAATATATCACAGTACAATACAGTACAGTCTATCTAAAATTATATCATTCAAACAGGTCAGTATTTTGCTTGAAATAATAAATGTACACATTTTTAAAGGCTTCAAAGTACAATACTGTACGGAAATTGTTTGTAAGTGTCAGAGAAATCCATAAACAATTTTAGTTCCTCTAAATAAGAACAAGCAGTAAAACAAAATTTATCACAGTACCTGTACAGTCTTGTATATAAATTAATAGTAATCATACTTAGTTTGAAATTGCAAATACAGTTATAGCAATTAGCATTCTTGAAAGATTTTGTACTGTACTGTACTGTACCTCTATTGAAATTGTAATTAAAATACAAAAGAAATGTGAAAGAAAAGAATTATTAAAATTCCCAAATAAGTATGAGTACAGTATATAATACACAGTATCACAGTACTGTTTATTGTATCTGACATTATATCACAAATTAAGTTGAAAGAATCTACTGTATTTGTTTTCACAAAAGAACAAAAAAAAACATAGATGTTGAAACATAAAATAATTTCCATATTCTTCATTAAGTACCTAAGAAAAAATAGTAAACAGAGAGATAGAAAAAATCACAGTTTATACATTATCAATTATGACACTGATGTTAAAGTCTCCATAATTTAACTTGATTGCCCACAGATTCTTGACATATGCCACTGGTCATAGGGGGCAGTGAAATTTTGCTCAAAGCTGCACTCTTCAGGCATTGTTCCTTATACATATCTAAGACTCCATGCCAAATTTGAAGCTGATATGTCGAGGTTTAGTCTGCCGCATTTTCTACTGAAATTTTTAAATTTACCTACAGTACTAGCCAAACAGCCGCTGTGGCGGTGCAATGTTCTGTTCAGTGTTTATCAACTTTTTTTTCATATCTCTTATTTCATTTAAGTTGTCTTGTTGCAGATGAGTATGGTGCTATGTCTATATTGATTATCAGCCTTTTCTCATTTCATTTCTCAATGTTGTGTTACTGTACTGTAATGTAGGGGAGACCTGGGTAAGTTGGCGCACTTGAAATTATTCAAATAGTTACCGTTAAGCAGTTCACACCGCAGTTTTTTATCACTATGGTGGTAAACCAAGTGGTCCTGAGCATTGGCGTGGTCCCATTGGAAAGCAGATCAAGGAGTCTTTGTCTGAGCTTCCAGTTGTCGCCTTCCAGCCAGTCAGTTTCCCTGATTTCCCTGTGTTTAATGATGAAGTGGGGAAAGATCTGTCCTGGGATCAGAAATACCTGTATAGGATTTGTAAAGGAGTTATCACAGGTGTTGTTGAAGATGACTTGGCTGCTATTGAGCCAGGTCCTCCCTGTGTGTCAAGGTGGAACACCTTATGGAGTAGAATCCTCAGGCTGTATGTAGCAACATCAAGACCCAGCCATGAGTTGAAAAGAATTGTCATTACAATAATAAAGTTCAGTGCTCCAATGTGGTTTTACATCAAGATACACCCTTACGTAACACACGGCTCAAGGAACGTATTCCAGTCCCTGCTATATATGAAACACCTGAATAGTGAGGAGGAGACGATAGTGAAGAAGGCTGTCCAGAGAAATGCATACTTCGCCCACACAGATCAACTTCTTCTTGGTATGTGTGCAGATGAGGACATGACTGTTAGAGAAAAAGCTGTCTCAATGATAAGAAAAATTAGAGAGGAGAATCAGCAAAAGGAAGAATGCACTGGCAGATCTGAAGAGGAGGAGGAAGATTCTGATGCTGCTGTTGACGAGAATTTGTTAAACTATACTGATGAGGAGGGTAAAGATGGAGATGGGAATGAGGATGTGCCTCCTGTAGTCAACATGAGAAAGGTGGTGACTCCGAAACTAAAGTGGCAAGCAAAAAACTATCATTCCATGATTAACTGGAGGAATGAACTCAAGACTGAGCCTCCTTACATTGCTTCTCTGTCAAATCTACAGGTTAATGACATTCTTGAGACACCATTAGTGGTGCCCAAGTGGCCAAACAGCACTCAGGCGGTCGAGAGAGGCATAAAAGTGATGACTGAAGCTTGCACTGAAGTGACGGGATACGAATCGAGAGATGGATATATTAGGCAAAGATTATTGTCTAGGAAAATGATGCCAAGGTTCCGCACAAAAAAGAATTTCAATATGAACTTGTAATGATTTTCTATACGGTGTACCTGTAAAATAACATGTGAATTAAATCGATGTCACCCATGTAAAATTTATCATTATCCTGGAAAACATTAAATGACACCTAATTTTTGGTATACACTAAAAGTTGACAAAAAGTCGTTCGCGATGCGGCAGGGTAAGTATGCATGAAATGGCATGAAATTTTGCACAGGTGTTTGTTACAGCCAT